CCATCCCCGCCTCTTCGACCTGTTTGTTTCCTCTCCACCTATCCTCTCCTCTATCCCTCTTCTATCCGCCTCCCACTCTCTCCCTATTTATTTCAAAACCCCCTTCCCCTCCCCCTTTTCTGATGAAGGGTCTAGGCCCGAAACGTCAGCCTCTCTGCTCCTATGATGCTGCTTGGCCTGCTGTGTTCATCCAGCCCTGCACCTTGTTGTCTCTAAATGCGTAGACATGGGTTATCTGCTTTGGGTGCATTTACAAAAACAAATCCTTCCACTCCGCCTCTGATGTCCATTTCAATTTAGTGTTTTGTTTCTAAACTTTTTTGTTCCCATATCCAGAGATGGTAACTAGCCTACGGTATGTTTGACCGGTGAGTGGGAGAGAGAAGAGTGTCTCCTTGCGGTGATGGAGTACCGGTCGATGCCGATCGTTGCCTGTTTTAACGTGCTGCTACTTTCCTCTGTGTCTCCCACAGGCCTGACCTGCTGAAGTCGGAGGGCATTGTGCCCAGCGCGGAGGTTGTCGGCCCGTCGCACTCGCCCGTCTCGGGCAGCCCCAAGATGTCCACGCCGCCGGGGAAGGCGAGGTACCGCGCCAAACCCAGGCACCGGCGCGGCAACAGCAAAGGCAGCCACCACGAGTTCGCGGGGGGGATCACGCGGGGGACCGCGACGGCTCTGGCTCTGGCTCCGGCCCCGGCCCCGGCCCCGGCCCCGGAGGAGTGCGCCCTGCAGAGGCTGGGCGACGCTGCCAACTGCGCCCACAACCTCAAGTACTTCGGCCCGGCGGCGGCGCTGAGAAGCCCTCACACCGACTGCCAGCCCTGCAAGGTGGCCGGCTCCAGCCCCGACCTCATCCCCACCACTCTGGCCACGAGTTGCCGGAGGGGCTCGGGCGGCATCCCCGGCCAGGGTGCCGCCTGCCAGGCCTGCCGGGGGCCTAAGGCCGAGACAAGAGCGCGGAGAGCGGCCGGCAGGTGCGAGGTGGGCCCGGCGGGCGGCCCGGGCCTCCCTCCGTCGTTGGCCCAGCCTGCCGAGGCCCAGCAAGTGAGCGGCAGACTTCAGGAGAGCGGCGGGCCCACGGAGGAGAAGCACGGCTGCAAAACAGGGTCTTCCTTGGGTACCCCTCAGCAACTCACCCCACCCACACTACCTCGCAAGATGGGAGCCCTCAGAAAGGAGGTAAGTCGGCAGCCAGTCCAACTTGCTTTGTTTTTATTTTAACGAGTAATGGCCACCAGTTTTTTTAAAAAAACACCAGATTGAGTATTTACAAACAAATGGGTAATGCAAACCATCAAAGGTGAAGGGTGGGGGATTAGGGAAAGCCGGAAGGTATTAAATCAAATGCATTTAGAGGAGAAAATAAAGCACCGTATTCCCCCTGGTGCCCACCTCTTAAGACATGGAGAGCATTAATGCACATCATGTGCTCCTTCTCCAGGAATGCCTGGGCATGAGCGGAAAAGGAGTAGGCTTTGTCATATAAGTATCAGGGCAATTCCCCTCCAGCACCTCCTGGGAAGGAGGGATGGGGTGTGGGTCACTATTGGGTTGGTGTTGTATATCATGCATCCTCAACAACATTTGTCCAAGATAAGAGAACTTACTGTTTCCACGTGCACCAGGATGCACACCCCAGGTGAAGGAGTTAACCTGCCATTACCTGTCCTTTTTAGAAGATATAAGACAGTAAAACAAGCAATTCTAGGAACTGAAGATACTGACCATACTACAGCTCCTGTTTGACATGCACACGATGTGACAAACAACACGTCTGATTGCAGCAATGTGGATACAACCCTGAGATGGAGATAAGTGGATGCAAGTAGGGAGTTATTGTGCTTGGTCAGTGGGAAGGGTGGAGCTGATAGGTGAGTAAGATGATGAAGTTGGGGGAGGAGAGATTTTGAAGCTGGTGAAGTCAGTGTTCAGGCCATTGGGCTCTAAGCTCCCAAGGTGAAATATGAGGTGGTGTTCTTCCAGTTTATGTTTGGCCTCACTCTGACAGTGGAGGAGGCCAAGGATAGACATGTCACCAGGGGAGTTAAAGTGGATGGCAACCGGTAGGTCGAGCTAGTTGGTGCGTGCAGAGTGCAGATGCTCTGCAGACCGGTTCCTGAGTCTGTGTTTGGTCTCCCCGATATAGAGGAGACCACCTAGGGAGCAATGGATACAGTAGATGAGGTTAGATGAAGTGCAGGTAAATCTCTGCTGAATTTGGAAGGATTGTTTGGTGCCTTGGATGGAAGTGAGAGGGGAGATGTAGGGGCGGGTGTAGCACCTCCTGTGGTTCAGGAAAAGGTACCGGGGTTGGTGGGGAGTGTGGAGCTGACAAGGGAGTCGCCGCGTGAACAGTCTGTGCGGAAAGTGGACAGGGTGGGGAGGGAATTATCTTTTCAATGGTGGGGTCTGATTGTAGGTGGTAGAAATGTCAGAGGGTGATGAGGTTGGTGGGGTGGTATGAGGACTAAGGGGACTCTATCCTTGTTGGGGGGGTAGAGGGTCTGAGGGCAGAAGCGTGGGAAATGAGGACATCCCTTAATAGCAGAAGGGAAAACTAAGGTCTATGAAATAGGAGGACATCTGGGAAGTCCTAGAGTAGAATGCCTCGTCCCAGGGGCAGATGTGGCGGAAGAATTGAGAGTATGGGATAGAATTCTTGCAGGAGGGTGGTGTAGTCAAGGTAATTGTGGGAGTCAGTGGATTTGAAATGGATGTCGGTGGTGCTTCGGTTACCGGAGATGGAGACAGAGAGCTCCAGGAAGGGGAGGGAGGTGTCAGAAATGTTCCAGATGAATTTGAGGGCGTGGTGGAAGGTGTTAGTGAAGTCGATGAACTGTTCGAGCTCCTCGCGGGAGCATGAGGCAGAGAAAGGTGGGGGATAGTACCAGTGTAGTTGTCGAAGAGGGACTGTTCCACCAATCCTACAAAGAAGCAGGCATACCTCAGGGTGGGGGGGAATGCAGGTGCCCATATCCACCACTTTTTGTTTGTAGGAAGTGGGAGGAGTCAAGGAAAAGTAGTTGAGGGTGAGGACCAGTTTCGTCAAGTGAATAAGTATGTCAGTGAAGGGGGACTGGGTGGGCCTACAAGAGAGGAATACGCGGAGGGCTTTTAGGCCATCGTTGTGTAGGGCACCAGGGAATTGAAAGTTTCGGAAAAATTGGAGGGTGTGGCTTGTGTCCCGAACTTAGGTGGGGAGTTCCTGGACCAAAGGGGAAAGAACTGAGTCGAGGTAGGAGATGAGCTTGGTGGGGTAGGAGCAGGCAGAGACATTTTGTTGACTGGAGTAGTCGGGTTTATCGATCTTGGATAGGAGATAGAAACGGGTGCCTTGGGTATCCAGGGCGTCAATTTCATGGTTTGCAGGTGATGTGAAAGTTGGAAATGCAGTTCATGTTGAGGAGGACAGTCTCAGGCTGCAGAGAATGTTTTATTTTTGCATCTGGTCAGGGACGTGACAGGCAGAGAGGTGTAAACGGATTCGTTTTAGAAGCATAAGAAGCAGCAATTTGGAAGTGAGCGGAAAGACTGTTGAAAGGTACAGAATCCTTAGAGCACAAAAAATAGCAAGTATTGCTGAAACTTCAGAAACCATTGATTAGGGAGTAAATACTCCTAACTGGAGTATTCTGAGCACCATGCTTTGGGCCCTCCCCAAACCCTTGATGTTCCTCAGAGGTGATTGGCCAAAAAAGCAGCGGAGATGAGGGAGTTCAGTGAATATGGAGAGACTGGGCATGTTCTCACTGGAACAGTGCAGGTTAATAGAGATGCTTACATTCACAACAACAGAGTAAATCGGGAAAAAATGTTCCCCTGTGGCAAGAAGCTAAATAGCTGGAGCACACATATTGAAGGGAAGGAGCTAAAAAACCAGAGGCAGATGAGAAGATTTTATCATCTCTAACTTTTCTTGAAATCGTGCAGGAAGCAGACTTTATGATTTTCAAACCACATGAATATTATTTGAAGTGGAAGTATTTTTGAGATAATGGAGAGAGCAGATAAGAGGGACCAGTGGTACTGCTCTTTCCAAGGACCAGCATGAGAACACAGCAGGCTGAAAGGCCTCCTACTGTGCTGCAGCATTCTGAATTTTGTACGGTTTGTGAATTCTCACTTAGGAGTATGTCTTATTGATTTTTTTTGTTTGAGTTCGCCAGTTTATTCCAACATGTCGGTATTGCAATATTCAAAAGTGCTGTCCGTGAACTGTAGGACATTCAAAAACATATTGCAGCAGTGATCTGAAGAAAAGGTCCTGAGTTACCAGGGTCCTACCATGTAGTGGCCGATCGAAGAACCTCAGGCTGGGAGGAACTGCTCTATCAGTCAGTTTGACAATGGCTGTGTCCTCTGTTCATCACCATTGATACTCTGAACTGGTTTCTGTTTGAAAGCTACAACTGAAACTTATTGCAACAAAGGTTTACCAGACAGATTTGTTTTTTTAACTCACTTGTAGGAGGTGGGCATCCCTGACTGGCCAGCACTTTTTGTCTGTCCTTAGTTGCCCTTGAGAAGGTGGTAGGGAGCTGCCGCCTTGAACTGCTGTAGTCCCTGTGCTGTAGGTTGACTCTCCATGCCCTTTGGGAGGAAATTCCTGGCAATTGACCCAGTGACTGTTTAGGAACAGTAATATATTTCAAGTCAGAGTGGTGAGTCGCTTGGAGGGAAGCTTGCAGGTGGTGGTGTTCCCATGTGTCTGCTGCTATGGAGTCATAAAGTCATACAGCGCAGAAACAGACACTTAGGTCCAACTCGTCCATGCCGACCTAATATCTTAAATTGATCTGGTCCCATTTGCCAGCATTTGGCCAATATCCCTCTAAACCCTTCCTATTCATGTACCCATCCAGATGCCTTTTAAATGTTGTAATTGTACCGGCCTCCTCAACTACTTCTGGCAGCTTGTTCTGTACATGCACAACACTCTGAAAAAGTTGCCCTTCAAGTCCCTTTTAAATCTTTCCCCTCATTTTAAATCTATGCCCTTTAGTTTTGGATTCCCCAACCCTGGGGGATAAAAAGACCATGGCTATTCACCCTATCCATGCCCCTCATGATTTTATAAGTCTCTATAAGCTCACCCCTCAGCCTCCAACAAGCCAGGAGAAAAAAGTCTCCGCCTTTTCAGCCTCTCCCTATAGCTCAAACCCTCCAATCCATCAATTTTGGCAACATCCTTATAAATCTATTCTGAACCCTTTCAAATTTCACAACATTTTCCTATAGTAGGGAGACCAGAATTGAATGTAGTATGCCAAAAGCAGTCTCACCAATGTCCTGCACAGCCACAACATGACATCCCAACTGCTATGCTCAGTGCACTGACCAGTGAAGGCAAGCATGCCTAGTGCCTTCTTCACCACTCTCTACCTATGACTTCACTTTCAAGGAACAATACACCTGCAGCCTTAGGTCCCTTGATTCGGCAACATTTAGCTCCTCACATTTATCTCGATTAAATTCCATCTGCCATTCCTCAGCCCATCGGCCCATCTGTCCCTCGAGTAGATTCCCATGCGTCACTCATTCTTGGGTATTTGTTATTCTCTATGTAAACCACACTGAGCCCCTTGACTATACTCCTATCTGTAACTCACTCCTGCCTTTGTCCTTCTAGATAGTAGTGGTCATGGGTTTGGAAGTAGTGTCTAAAGATCTTTGAATGTTTGCAGTGCATCTTGTAGATAGTACATACTGATGCTACTGAGCGTCAGTGGTGGAGGGATTGGATGCTTGTGAACGTGGTGCCAGTCAAGCGGGCTGCATTATTCTGGACAGTGTCATGCTTCTTGTGTTGGGACTGCATTCATCCAACTAGGGAGTATTTCATCACGTTCCTGACTTTGTGCCTTGTAGATGGTAGACAGGCTTTGGGGAGTCAGGAGGTGAGTACAGCCTGCAGTATTCTGAGCCTCTGACCTGTTCTTGTAAGCCCCAGGATGTTGATAGTGTTATCATCACTGAATTCCCCCACTATTAAATGTTAAGGGTCAGTGGTTAGGTTGTATCTTATTGGAGATGGTGCAGCAAATGTTACTTGCCACTTATCAGCCCAATCCTGGATATTATCCATATCTTGTTGAATTTGAACATGGACTGCTTCATTATTTGAGGAGCCATGAACGGTGCTGAGCCTTGCGCAGTCATCAGCGACTATCCCACTTCTGACCTTATGTTGGAGGAAAGGTCAATGCTGAAGATAGTTGAGCCTAGGACACTACCCTAACAAACTCCAGCACTGTGCTGGAGCTGAGATGGCTGACCTCCAACAACCACAGCCATCTCAATAAAAACCAAAAGAAAGTTGCTGGAAAAGCTCAGTAGGTCTGGCGGCATCTGTGAAGAAGGGGAAAAAAAAAAGGAAAAGTTAACATTTTAGGTCTAGTGACCCTTCCTCAGAACTGATGGTAACTAGGATGCAACTTGTATTTAGATAAGATCTTTAATGTAGAGGGATAGACAGTTACAGTGTTAGAACATGAGGGAGACAGGTAGATAGTATGGAGCAAAGGGAGAAAGAGTTAACTGCTGCAATGGCTAACATCAGCTAATTTAGAATTAAATGGAAACTTCCTGGAGTACGCCAGACCGACTAAAAACTTGCTCATGGAGGGATCTGCATGGAATGTTCTTGTTAAAAGTTCAATATGATTGGCTTAACAAAGTCAGGACTTTAAGCGATCATTGTTACCCATTAATGTGACATAACTCGTTCAGAAAGTAGTGAGTGATTTCTTGGGTGAAGATCCATCTCATGCTCTCTTTCCGCTTCTCCCCCCCCCCCGCCCATCTGACTCCTCTTACTTGCTCTCTGTTTCTCTGTGTGTCTCTCTTTCTCTCTCTCTCTTCCTGTGGCATCTGGTGTTACTGCTGACCAGTAGCTGTCTGTTGGGGCTGTAAACCTGGAGGTGGATAGTGAGGCTGAAAGGAGTTCTCCACAGTGAAAGTGAGTCGTGTTTGAACAGGAGGGGAAGGTGATTGTGCAGCAGCTCGGGCTGGGGAGGGGTCAGTATAAGAAGGATAGGCCCCAGCCTCTCTCTTATTGGATGAGAGAGAGTCTGGGACCAGAGGCGGCATCTCCGTGTAAAAGGGTCCCCTATTTAAGACAGATATGAGGAGGAATTTCTTCTGTCAGAAGATAATGAATCTGTGGAATTCTTTACCACAGAGGGATGTCAAGGCTGGGTCATTAAAAATCTATCGCAGCCTTGAATATATTTAATCAGTAAGAGAATTGAGTATATGGGGAAAAAGCAAGAAAGTGGAGTTGAGGGTGATCAGATCAGCCATGATCTCATTGAATGATCAAGCAGGCTTGATGGACTGAATGGCCTGCTTCTCTTATGGTCTCACAAGATCAAACACGTCCTGTCTGAATTGGATAGGAAACCAACACGAACTTGCAATTATGTTCCATACTTTGACATACAATGTATCCAGTCACAGCAGGGTCTGGGACAGGGGTGGGGGGATGTTCGGGGCCAATAATCGGGGTCTGGGGCATGAGGGGCAACCTGTGCTTGGGTCAGAGGGTAGTGCCCACTGTGCTCAGGTCAGGGGGTTGGGGCCACTGTGCCTGGGTTAGGGAGCAGAGTTTACTGTGTTGGGGTCGGGGGGGTCCAGGGCCATTGTGCTAGTGTCAGGGGCAGAGGTCATTGCTCAGGCCACTGTGTTCGAGACAGGGGGCCCAGGCCAGCTGTTGCACTGATGCCTATGGTTTCTGTTTCTGCAACTTCTCAGACTAACATTATCAAATAAAATCTGACCGAGTCCCTGAGAGGGAGGTTTCAGTTGTATTTCGTTTGAGTTTGGTTTAAGAAGCATTCTACAGTAGGGTAGAAGTGGGGACACTTGGGGAAAGAATTTCAGAGCTAAGGACCTAGGCAGTTGTTGGCTTGGTTGCTTAACTGTGGGACTATACAAGAGAGATGAATTGAAGAATGTGAACTCTAACTGAGACATTGACAGACAGGGGTTCTTAGGAATGTGCAGCACAGGAATGACAGATAAACAGGACTTCACACAAGCAGCAGAGTTCACTTTATGGAAAACTGGAGGTCAGCCAGTAATCCATCGGAACGGTCATATCTCAAGCCAGCAAAGGCACCGAAGTGGGATTAAGCAGCAGCTGACTAGAACTGGACAGACACAACGTAAAGTACCTGCCACACTGTCACTTAGTCATAACTTTACAACACTGCCTGTTCTAACTTGTGGGATCTGTTGTTATAATTACAAACTGGACTGAGGCTGTCCAAACTATGTCTCTGTTTGTGAAGTAACAGTTTTATATTATACAGGATAACAATTCTATTGCATATGGCTTAAAAAAAGACATCTTTTGTTGAAGTTTTCTGTCTTGCACTCATCAGGGTGGTTCATGAGACTACCAACGTAAGGGGAAAACCAACATTTATTCTGTATGAGATGGCAGCGATGGCTGGCAAGTGGACTGTGGTTGGTAGAAGCATTGCCATGAAGAATGAATCGGTTAACAGTGACAATAGACTGCCAAACTTTGTTTGCATTTTAAACCAGGCAGGTTGACTCTGACTGGTCAGGGCATTTTCCTGAGAAAATAACCAACCAATGGCTGTCACCTATTTTGTTGCGTTGAGACAGATGTAATGTGTGTACGTGTTCTTGCTGTCTACAAAAATCAGACTCCTTTGTCTTTATGTAACTTGCGGTACACAAATGCACCACACTGAGAGTTTGAGTGGCAATCCTAAATTGTTTGCCACTGTGAACTTTTGCACGCTTAAGATTATTTAGCAAATGTGGATGTCGGTTTGAGAGTCTTAGATGATGTAACCGAAGTAAGCTTGGTGTCTTCGATGTATGACACACAATTACATTATTTTCTGTTGACCACCAGAATGGAGACGACTCCTCTGAAGAAGAGGAGGGAGAAGTGGACAGTGAAGTTGAGTTTCCACGCAGGCAGAGGTAAGAGGTTTATTGCAGCCATTCTGCAAAATCCATTCCCCCCCCCCCCCACATCCTTCCAAGTGCTTGGTGCCAATGCAGACTGAGGCGTAAGTTTAAGTAATATGACTTGTGAATAACTCTAACCAACAAGTGAAGAATGTGGTGTAAGGGCTGGCTGAAGCCTGGCCTGACAGAGTTCTAGAGTACAAACATAGAATCGTGCAGCAAATAACAAGCCCATTTGGCTCATTGTATCTGTGCCAGCTCATTGAAAGAACTACTTAATTAGCCCAACTCCCTCAGCTCTTCCCTTTTGGGGAAACTTTCTTTTTTTAAATATAGTGTCAGTACCTGCCCTTCCTTCAGCGTCCTAACCTTGCGCAGTGAAGCAGCAGGTTTATGTTTCAGGTGCAAGTAGCAACACCCCAGCATTGATCTCTTTGAGGGTGTCTGCTCCTCAGTGTTATTCAGTTGCTCCAGGTGGATGAAGATAAATGTAAAAGAAAGCAGCTGAAGCAGGCACCACAGCCTCTCAATTCATTCACTAATATCAGGACTGATCTTCTACCTCCATTGCATCTTTCTGCACTCTTCCCCTTATCCTTTGCATTTCTCAGTCTCAAATCTCCCAAGTGAGTATCCACAGCACTTGTGTAGAGAATTCAACTTTGAGTGAAAATGTCACCTCATCTTTTGTCCTAAATTGCCAACTCCTTATTATGAGACTGTGATCCTTATTTCTGGACTCCCTAACTGCTAGAAACATCCCCCTAACATTTATCCTGTCAAACCCTTTTAGGCATTAATATGTTTCATTGAGATTACATTCCATTTGTTTACTAATTACTTGCTGTTACCTTCATGTGAATGCTGTATGATTCATGTGCAGCTGCACCCAGGTCCCTCTAAATGCAAACATTTACATCTCAACATTTTACAAATGTTTTACCTCAATTTTCCTTTCCATTATGGATAACTCTCAATTCTCCACAATTGTATTACATTCTTGCCTCCTGACTTTGTATAAATCCTTTCATGGCTTCTTAGTGTCCTCCTCATCACTTACTTTCCCACCTTTTTGATTTTTATTGTTAGAAAACTCCATGCAAGACTCAGTCCCCAATCATCCGAATCATTGACGTACATTGTAAGTAACTGAGACCCAAGCATTGATCCCTATGTCATCCCAATAGTTTTAGTCTGCCAACCTATTTTTTTCCTACTATCTTTTTCTGTCTAATTAACAAATTCTCAGTCATTGCTATTATCCCAAAGCCATACGTCCTAATATTATGTAATAACCCGTTGTCCCAATATACTGTATCCATTGGTTCTCCCTTCTCCCTTATAGTTCCACAGATTTGTTAACCTTGATTTCCTTTCATTTTGGTTCTACACAATTGCATTGTTGTTTTGTGAGTTTCCTGTTCTCACTTAAGTATTTTCCCTGCTACTGATATTAGCCTAACTGGCGGATACTTTCCTGTTTTATCAGCCAGGATCGAATGGCAGAGAAATGGGTTGAATGGCCTAATTCTGCTCCAAGTCTAATGGTCACATCTCTCCTGTTTCCTTTCTTGAACAGTGGAGTTGTTTATGCTACCTAAACTCAGTTTGTGATAATTCCAGATCCTAAAGAATTCTAGAAGATCAAACTAATGCATCCGCCAGCCCTTTTCAAACCCTAGGGTGTATATACCAAAATACAGGTGTTTGTTGGCTTTTAGTCCCACTTAATATCAATAGGACTAATTATATGCCTATGTTTTTCATTTTCAATAAAGCCTTGGTTTGCCGATACTTCTAGAATATTTTACGTGAAGCATTGTTTGCTGAGAAATTTAGGAAGTATGTGTTCAGTTACTCTGCTATCTTTTTTCCACCATTGTAAAATCTGTCTCTGACTCTAAGGAATTAATTTACTTTTGTTAAGTTTTGTTGTATCCTGGTGGAAGCTTATAATTAGTTTTACATCTACTGGTTTACTGTTTGTTTCTTCATTAATTTCTTGGTCATTCTTTGCTGATTTGGATATTCTATCAATGCTTATAAACAAAAACAGAAATTGCTGGAAAAGCTCTGCAGGTCTGGCAGCATCTGTTAAGAGAAATCAGAGTTAACGTTTTGGGCCTGGTGACCCTTCCTCAGAACTGAAGAATTAATCAATTCTTATACTTACTACCTTTTCTTGGCATCATTATAACCATCTTCCTTCAATCTACCTTCAGTGTGTTAGCCATGGTTCAGACCATGTTTTCTGCTGTGATTTAATTTTTTAAAGAAATGTATAATCGCTGCAAATTATGAATTAAATCTTATAAGCATTTACTATTGCTAATTATATCTCTTAAACTAGTTTCCTAATCTCTTTTTATTTTTTTTTAGACAAATTGTACCTCTTAGCTTTGTACTGTACAGATTTAAGGCTCCAATTTCAGACTTGACTAAATCATTCTAATGTTCAGTGTAGAATTCTATTTTGTTATGATCACTCTCTTCCCTGGAGGCTCCTTTGCTGTGGGTGTTTTAATTTATATTCACATTGCTGTCTAAAATAGGTTTTTTTTTCCGGTTAGTTCCTCAGTGTACTCATCCAGAAAACAATCTTGAATACATTTCATGAATGAATTCAGCCTCCACACCATTGCTGAAAATTTGGTTACACAGTCAAATGAAGATTAAAGTTCCATTATTTGTGTCCGCAGCTGCTTTCTCTAATTATTCTTTCTTTTCTACTTTTTCCTGATGTTCTTAGTCACTAAGTGCAAAATCTTCGTTGAGCTCTGTCCCTTCCTGATCTACTTTGTTTATTTTTAGCCATATGGCTGCCCTACTGTGCAGTCTTCACGTTTCATTTGCTGATTTTCAATTTCTGAATGCTCACAACCTCTGCATTGCTTGAAAGCTCTGGTTGTCATCCTAGTCGTTTCTTTCATTGGGGAAATGATCCCAGCACAGTTTATCTGAGCCTATCTCAGTGTAGCATCTCCTCTTTTCCCAATGCTGGGTGTCTTGAAGTGAATCCATCTCTGCCTCTCATGCCACTCTTTCAGCTACTCATTTACTGTGGGCCTCTGTTGCTTGTGTACTGCCTGGGAGGCCTGCAGGCTGAAGACCCTCTGCCATCCTATGGGTCTTTGTATTTTTAATGTCTATCCTCACTTGTTTCCATGTGACAGAATTCCTTCTCTTTCCTCAAGCTCCCACCTCACAGACCCCATCTCTTGCATTGCTGTGGAAACCAGTGATTCCCATTCTGCCTTGCCTACAAGGACAATGAGAAAGGTCTACATCATATTCAAAAGGATCTGATGTCCTCGTTTAACAAGTCTGCCACTTCCTTGATGCCCATGCTCCCCATCCACTTACTTTCTTTTAAAATATCTCTAAAAGCTTTTGCAGTTCAGTTTTCATACTGGCCTTGCAGGTTTTATCATGTTCCTTTCAGTACCTTTTTTCCATGTTCTTTGTACCCGTTTTGTTATTACTTGTTGCACCCTCCCTACCAAGTCTGTTAGATCTCCACTTTGGGGCTAACTTCAATTCTTAACCTGTTCCCAAGTACAAAGGATTATTCATCAGAGAATCCTGCTGCCCTCCTGGGTTCAAAGTTCACAAAGTCCCCACTGAGGTTTGAGCAGGTTCAGGTTTTCTTTCCCGCTATATGCCTGGTGCTGTCTGGGGCTCAATGCTGAACTCCCTTGCCTCGGGGAGAACAAAAAGCCAAACTGTTGTTACAGGCCACCCGAGGAGTGCTGGCCTTTGAGCGCAGCTACTCCGGGCAAGCCCAAGATTCAATCCCTGCGGATTTGGGTGGCATGGTGGCTCAGTGGTTAGCACTGCTGACTCTCAGCACCAGCAACCAGTTTGATTCCAGCCTTGGATGACCATCTGTGTGGAGTTTGCACATTCTCCTCGTGTCTGTGTGGGTTTCCGCCAGGTGCTCCGGTTTCCTTTCACAGGTTAGGTGGATTGGCTGTGCTAAATTGCCCTGTAGTGTTCGGGAATGTGCAGACTAGGTGGATTAGCCATGGTAATTATGAGGTTATGGGATAGGGTAGGAGGAGGGGTGGGTCTTGGTGAGATGCTCTTCAGAGGGCCAATGCAGACTTGATGGGCCAAATGAGCCCTTTCCGCGCTGCAGGGATTCTATGATTATAGGTTTGCCAACACGAATGTGCGGTCATCATTCAGTGAGGCCTCAAGGTCCTTTACCTAATCTTCTCTCTGAAGAGTCCCAGACATGGCCTAGCTGGAGTGCAACTCTACCTGTGTCCACCAGAGGTCTGTCTGTGTAGCCGGTCATTATTTGAAGCCCTTTCAATTATAGTGGACTTCACAGCCAAGGCCTTTTCTCTCCTTTTGTAGCAGGAGTCACTGTTTGCGTGATCAAGGCCAGGAATTCTGTTTGTGGCCAACACTCCTATTCTAAAAGCTGCCTGGGCTCAGAATCTGTGGAAGCAACCAGATTCTGATCGAATTAAACTTTCAACCTATGTAATTCTGCAATCATTCTCCGTTTAAGCAATACTTTGCTTTCTTTATTCTTCCTGCCAAGTGAACAGATCACATTTTCCCATCTACCAGATTTGCTCAGCCACTCAACCTCTGTATCCACCTACAACTTCTTCATATACTTTTTCAACCTATCAGCCATGATCTTATTGAATGTCGAAGCAGGCTTAAGGAGCCAAATGGCCTACTTCCCCCTCCTATTTTCTTTGGCTTTGTATAGCAGATGGAATCCACCCATGTTGGATTCAAGAAAGACATATAATTTCTGGGTTGAAGTTTTACTAAATGGTGGGAGACTGGTAGCTGTGAAAGAGCAAGTATTGTCCGCGCAGATAAATCACTGAAAACAATTTGACAGTCACAGACATCGATGCAAATGCTAAAGGGAAGTTTCTCTCATCTCAGAGCAGTCGGAATACGTAGGGTTGGAGATTATCCTTCAGTAAAGTGGAGTTATATTCAGGTTACTCCTGGATCACTATCTTCAGCTCTATAGAAGGACATATTGGCCTCTGAGAAGTGACATGCACAGTGATACTGGGTGTTTTGAGGATTCAACTATCAGTCCAGGTTCCATATCCCCTTCAATAGATAGTTATGTGGGGTCGTGGAGGTGGGTGGTGGTGAGGTAATTGAGGTGATTAATTAATACATTCAGCATGTCAAATATAGAGAAACCACTTCGTCTGGTTGGGAATGTTGATAAATTAGACCAGCAGTTCGAGTGAAAACAAAGTACTTGATCAAAGGGTATTGATAATCTGGAATTCTGAAATTATTGGAACTCATTTTTATTTTGGCCTCACATAGCTGCAGACACAGGAGATTTTGCCCAGTCTGTTGGAGAGCTTAGAGGTTTCTCACTGTTATACTGCACTTTTCTGCTTGTTCCTTTGCAGGGTTGTGTGGATTTGTTTTGTTGGGTTCTTGAAGCTGTGTTGCCCTCTTTACACTGCAGGCCACACCGTTGTATGAGCAGCTGCCAGTCCTATTCCACCTTCAGCTCAGAGAACTTCTCTGTATCAGATGGGGAGGAAGGAAACACCAGTGACCACTCTCACAGCGGTACTCCAGATGGACTCAGCAACAACAATGAGGACCGTCTGGAGGACAAACTGGATGATATGCTGTCACAAACTCCGGAAATTCCCATCGAGATATCCATGCAGTCGGACGGGCTGTCTGACAAAGAGTCCGCTGTCCGCAGGGTGAAAACTCAGATATCACTGGGGAAACTGTGTGCGGAGGAGCATTGCTATGAGGTAAGATTCTCATTGCTAGTTGCATAGCTCGCTGTTGACAGAGTTCAATCCAGACAGTGACATGAGCAAGTTCTAGGTGTGTAGAAACACAACTCCTTAAAGGTGGCAGGAAACATCATAACATGTAGGAGCAAAGTAGGCTATTCAACCCATTGAGTTCGATCTGCTATTCAATCAGATCATGTCTGATCTGATAATCTTCATCTCCACTTTGCCTTTCATGTTGTTTTTAAAAAAAAGTATACACAGGCTCCTAGGCTTTATAAATAGAGGCATTTGGTAACAAATACAGAAAGTTATACTAAATCTTTACTGCTTACACCCTAGCTGGATTAATGCATTCAAGTCTGGACATCATATTTCAGGAGGCAGTGGTGTAATGGTAATGTCATTGAACTAGTAATCCAGAATCCCAGCCACGAATGTTCTAGGTGCATGAATTGAATCCCACCATGGCAAAAAGTAAAATTTGAATTCAATAAAAGTCTGGAATTAAAGGCTCGCCCAATGATGAGCATGTAACAATTTGTTGTAAAAACCCATCTGGGTCACTAATGTCCCTTAGGGAAGGAAACTGCCATCCTTACCTGGTCTGGCCTACATGCAACTCCAGACTCTCTTCAATGTGGTTGACTCTTAACTGCCCTCTGGGCAATTGGGATGAGTAATAAATACTGGCCTAGCCAGTGACACCTGTGTCTTGCAAATGAATAAAAAGAAAAGGAAGGCTACCAAAGCTTTGAAGGTGCAGAAGGGATTTACTAGAATGATACCAGGAATGAGGCAGTTAAATGGGACAAACATAATACTAGAGAAACTTAGCAGGTCTGGCACTAAATGTGGAGACAGAAACAGTTAACATTTCAAGTCCAGGATGACATGTTCAGGCAGCATGGTGGCTCCTTGGTTATTGCTGTTGCCTCTCAGCGCCGGAGACCTAGATTCGATTCCAGCCTTAGGTGACTGTGTGGACTTTGCACATTCTCCCCGTGTCTGTGTGGATTTCCACTAGCTACTCCAGTTTCCTCCGACAGCCCAAAGAGGTGTAGGTTCGGTGGTTTGGCCATGCAAAATTACCCCGCTCAGGATTGTGCAGACTTAAATGGGTTAGCTATGGTAAATGTGGGGTTATAGGGATAGGGTGGAGATTGGGGAGGTCTTTGGAGGGTCAGTGCAGACTCAATAGGCCAATGGCCTCTCTTCAGAACTCTGAACCTAGTATTCCCAGTGGCTGTTTCAGATTTCCAGCATCTGCCTTTATTAAAGAATCTGGTGGTGTTTCCTTCAAATCAGGAACGTTAAAGCGAGATTTAGTAGTCTTCAAAGTGATGAGTTTGATAGAATAAATAAAGGGAATCTGTTTCCAGTGACAGGAGAGTCTGTAACCAGAGGAAACAGATAATTGGTTAAAGAACAAGATATGAGACTATTTTATGCATTAAGTTGCTACAATTTGGAATGTTCTGTATGATCCCAAGTAACTTTGGGAAAGGAATTGGATAAATAGTTGAAGTGTACAAATATCCAAGAAAATGGGACTAATTGGTAGCTCCTTTTAAAGTGCCAGCACAAACATGACCCAATGTTCTCCTAGCTATGCTGAATCTAACAGGTACAAAACAGGCTTCATACTGCAAAGTTTGGCGTTGAATAGGGGAACATTCAGTGGGGAGAATTGCCTGCCACTAACAAATGCTGCAGTTAAAATAAAGGAAGAAGTCTGGGTGTGTTTCTGTAAGGAATGTTCCAAACTCTGCATTGGATTTTTCTTCCTGCACTGACATTTACCACCAGACCAAAGAAAGCCGATCATGGTGTTTGGCATGGGTGACTGGGAGGTGGCACAAACAGACAATGTGAATGTGTGCATGAACTGCATTGCCAAGGGTCTCCCTGGGCATCAACCACTAGAGTGCATTGAGAAGTTAGATGACCATGTGAAACAGCTGTCAGTGTAGTTTTCAGACATTTCTTTGAAAATTTCACCAAGCTATGTAGATGGAACTTAAGTACAGATCAGAATGGAAGAATAGGTGAAGACTTGAATTTATATAGCACCTTTCATGACCTTGGGACACTTCAAAATGCTTTATATCCAATTAAATACTTTTTTGTTTGAAGTGTAGTTGCCACCGTGAAACACCATGGAACAAGCACAGCCTGCCTGTGTCAGATAATTCTGTTACAGTTTGTGCTCCTAAGACGAAAGAAGGAATAATGAGCATTGTGTAAGCAATGTGCTGAATGACCAGATCATCTGCCTCATTTTCTTAAGTGAGGGAGAAATACTGGTTGGGACCAGGCATCACATCAATGCTGATGTGAACCATGTTTGGAGTCAGTCCTCCTGACCCACACTCCCAAGTTCCTTTGAAGTCGGGCAGGTATGAGGGAGATGGGGTGGGGTCGGAGACCTCCCACTGTCTGCTGCTGAGCCATATCCCAATGACTTGAGTGTGGTGGAGGGAATGGTGTGGAAGAGTGGCAAGAAACTTGGAGATCATGGGCACTGATCTTTTTAATGTTTGTCCTCACCCTCTAGAACTCCATGCACTTTGGGGAGTCGGAATGTGATTCCTCCGAAGCAGAATGCTCCGACGCCACAGTGCGGAGAGGGAAGGACTGCAGTTTATCCACCTGGTGAGGGAGGTAGGCGGCAAGATCACCCATAGGAAAAGAACATAGAAAATACGGACAAAGACATACACGAAGACTATCGAGACTTCCCGAGGGAACATACTGCAATAACACAGACTCAGATACTCTTCGATATTCTGCAACATTCTGTGATGAAGTAATTGTAGAGTTCACTATCATTTCAATCAAGTATGGCAGGGATCCACTTTGTTGACTAATGTAGCTAGTGTAAACATTAACGTTCTATTTTTGTTCGACACTTCACACTGCATAAACGTCGAGTATTCTACAAGAGACGGAATTGCAAAGAAGATGGACAAGATGTCGCAAGTCTTAAATTTTTTTTTTTTTTGTTTTTGCATGGAGTGTAAGGCTCAGGGACCAACACGAGGCTGCACTGCTGTTCTGACCTGAGACTGACTGGGTCAGGAGACACCAAAGTGGGCCACGGTTGATGGGAGGATGCCCCTCCTGATCCTCTTCGATGAAGAGGAAACAGAAAAGATTCTGGAGTGTACCTGAATACTTCAGATATACATACATGAACCAGCCAGGAAGATCAGCTCAACCTGATGGCAAATGGATCATGGGACTGGAAGGCACTTAACGTCAAAATGTACTGCCAACTCTGGGAAAGACAATTCATTGGCGGCATTTGGAATTGCTGAGGCCAAGGTCAGTAGGGGTTGGGGTATATGAAAGAGCTATGTTTGTTAGCCTAGTGATCCAAGTGGGGCTTCCCAGCATCTGGCACAGTACCTTCCAGCTGCCTGGCAAGATGGGCAGACAGAAACAGGACGAGGCAGTTCTGCCCCTCAAGCCTGTTCTGATACAATGTGTCTGAGCCTTCACCTTGGTTGACCCCAAGTTTGTTCCATGCTCCAAGTTCACACCATCATTCCGATGATGTTCTTGCTATGCAGCCGGGCCCTGCTGTGCTAACTGAGATGAGGTTACTCTATGACCAAGAGCCTTCCAAATCAAGGTATTCATTTGCCATCGATTGTTGCTGCCTCTTTCCTGTCCCCAAACCTGGTACTGGATCCTTTTCTTCTCCCAGCAACGTGAAAAGCCTTGTCTCGCGATGTCAGAGGAAAATTGTGCAGTTGTACCTCCACACAGAAGCATCAGAACATCACCGAACCATTCCAGACTTCCTTGCTGCAGCATGCCAGCAGTCAGGGACAACAACAGTTTGTCTTTGCTTTTTTTTTTTATTTTAAGGGCTGGTGAATTCCTGGCACCTGTAAGTGAACAGGGACAAAAAAAAGTCAATATCAACCAGTTGTGGCTGTTCTGGCACAAGTTTGAGTGAAACAAAATGAGATTGAAAATCCCTGTATTGTCACAGCAAATTTCAGAAAGAGATACATCGCTGTTCCAGTGCAGGATACATTGTGTTGTGCAAATATTGAAATCTGCTGAGTTAGGCGGTCCCTTTCAGGCTTTTACTCTGCTCCTTATCTTCCATTTTACCGAGATGGTTTTCAAATCCCTGGCTTTTTAATACAGTAAGTAATCTACTGTATGGGTTAGCAAATCACAGGAACAAGCACAGCCTGCCTGTGTCAGATAATTCTGTTACAGTTTGTGCTCCTAAGATGAAAGAAGGAATAATGAGCAAAAGTGTGGTTGTGGGATTTGCCTGTGATCCTCTGCTAGAAAATTCTGCCTTTTCTCCCAATGTATAAATGGGTAAAGTTCTTCTGGGCAACATACAATGATGGCACTGTGCCCATTGAACTTCCCCTTACTGTCAGGTCACCCAGCAAAAAAAAAAAAAAAACAGGCAAGGGAGTGCACAGATTTCAGATGTAGAATGGCAGGGCTGTGACTATTCAGCAGTCACTCTGTAATTCTAGTTCCTGAGTTAAGGATTTGTCCACTTTGGTCCTTGCTAAGTGCCTCTGGGCCCCTGCAACTCTGTGTGTGTGTGTGTGTGTGTTTGTTAGAACCTGCTGCTCTCTGATACAAACTGCTCGCGGTGTTTCCCTAAGATGGATTGGCATAGCTAATTTGCCAGTTGGTAATGCTTCCAGGCAAAATTGTACTTTGTATATTACAAGTCCTGGAAACCCTTACAGATTCCATTCACTGACACATCTGAACCTCTCCATCTAAATGATGTGACACTTATGCCCTCAGATTTCCCTGTGCCTATCAGTGTTGACTGGATGGATGAATATTACCTGTCAGTCTCTGAGCTGCAGGCTGCTTGTTACTGATTAACTTATGATGTTAGATACCAAAAAAAATACAACTTGGTAACCAGTTCCAGGGATGGCAAGCAATTCCAGAAGAAAGCAGCACAGTCCTAGTTAAACTTGTTGCTTGGTGAGAGTGTACTGTAGCATGTGAATACCAAATCTCCAGGGCAATTTGGGGACCAAAGGTAAGGCCCAACCCTCCCTCAATGGCTGTGGAGTCAGCACACTCCACTATAAATAGCCAGAAGAAAGCCAATCCAATTTGACTCGTGCTTGCTTTTATCCTGTATCTCTGCTATTCCCTTTTCCCCATTTTGATTATTTTCAGCCAAAATTTAATGTATAAATTCCACCTCGGTAAAATATCAAAACAAGCTATTAGAAAAGCCTGAATTGGACAGTGATATACCGAATGATTTTTTTTTTTTCCGGTTTTGTTTACAATCTCTAGAAATGTAGACTCTGAACATCCTCACTGTAAATTTTAGCAGATGTGTAATTTTATGAAGGAAAGGTCATTACTGCCAAAGCAGTATCGGATCATTTTAAATTATTCCTTTGGTTCTGTAGCTGGACTACATCAGAATTGTTAATTTATCATTGAGGTTTTGATTGTCTTTTTTTTTTCTGTAGATCAGAATTTTGTTTACTCCCAGAAGGACCTTGAATCTATCTTTGTGCTCTCTCGGTTCCCATTGGGATTGACCATTCCAGGAGTAGGATTATATCAAGTAGTTCAGGAAATCTTAAACTGAATTGAGAGGGGGATAGTTGGGGCTGGGGAAGACAATGAGAAGGCAAGACCGAGCTGACAATTGGAAAAACAAAAAATTGTTGGATCAGTGTTGTGGGAACTGTGCCTATGTACCTCATTTCCAATGGCCCTGTATATCTTTCCAGAATAAGGAAAATGTTTAAAAGTACTTTTAAAGGGTGTATTCTTTCAGTATTATTTATAAGGATGTAACAATCCTTCCCTCCTATCAAGCCTAGAGACTCCAGCATAATCTATTTTATTGATACTGCCCTGACCTTCCTTTCCCAGTTTTCCCTGAACTGACCCGTCAGCAACAACCATCCTCTTTCTGAACCCTTACCGTGTTGGAAATGAAGATTCATCACTCCTTGTCTTTAACTTGGTCATTAGTAGCAATTTCCAAACTTGTGACCTCTACCAGCTAGAAGGACAAGGGTAGTAGGTATGTGGGAATTTCCTCCCTACAAATTCCCCCTCCAAGCCATTCACCATCCTCCCTTGGAAATATGTTGCCATTCCTTTATTGTCACTGAGTCAAAACCCTAATAATCTTCCTAACAACACTGACTGTAATGACATCCCAAGGACTTCAGCAATTCAAGAGCATAGCCTACCACCACCTTTATTGAGGGCAATAAAAGCTGACCCAGTCTGCAATGCCCAAGCCCCATGAATGAATAAAGAAAGTGACCTCAAATGTGTGAAGTGAAAGATTTCCAACTGTAGTTGGAAATCTTTTGTAGGAGGATTAATCATGTGGCCTTCAGTTCATGTTAGACACCCACCATGTCCATTCGCATGACAATTCAACATTAAACACTCACCACTTATACTTTTGGTATGATCCCTAACTGTTCTTTCAGCAATGTTTTATCACTACACAAAAAAATGTCCAAAGAAAACGGAATGAACAGTTTTTGTTTTATATTGCTGGCTATGGTTTTCCCCCCTGGAGTTCACTCTCAACAGTGTCAGCAAGATCAAACTTTAGTAATTCCTCATGTTAAAAACAACAGAAAATGCTGGCCATGTCCAGCAGGGTCTGGCAGCATCTGTGGAGCAAGACAGAAACATGTTTCAGGATGGTGACCTGATTATAGTTACAACATTTTTGGGTTTTTACTTCTGATTACCAGCATCTACAGTGTTTTAATTCCTAAGGGGTTGACAACCCTGGTGAAATGGCTAAGGCATAGCCTTTGCTTCCTCCTGATATTGTTAACACTTAGCCACCTGCTTATCAAATCACTCACCCACCCACCCACCCACACAAGACTCCTGCACTCTCAGCTCAGTTTAAATGTAGCTTGCAAATCATTCCCCCCAACAACCTTGCACTTCTAATTCACTAAGTCAATATTATCACCAATTTAGAACTTTCTCTACAATTTGTTTATTCTCCTCTTTTAAAAACAAGGTTCTTATAAAACATCAGTAATAACTGGATTTCTTTGCACTGTGGGCCTATGCTTGAAGCATCTGACAGACACACTGACTTAAATGTTGATTGCTGCTAAACTTCACACAGCCGTCTCATGCCTCCTCTGCTCTTCTGGATGGCCAGCATCAAGATCTTTCTCATCTCTTCCCTGTTCCTACCCTCTGTCCTGCTCTCACTGTTGCTTTCAGTCTCCCTACCTCACTCTCCTCATGTTCTTGCCCTCTTTCTTCCCTGCCTTACCCATTCTCTTTACCCTTCTTTCTTTGCTGCACACTCTTGCCCTTAGCTTCACCCTAATTCTCACACAGTCCCATCTTTTACAGTGTCATCACCATCACACTCCTCCCCCACAAACACAGACCTTTCCCAACCACACATACACAGATCACAAGATGATTCAACCAGATCGTTCTCCGAAGTGAAAAACAATCCTGCCATCTTTAAATAACTTGATATTATTGAGGATTGGATTCACACAGCTAGCCTTTCAACTGAGCTATTGCAAGGGTCATTTTTCAGCCAAGTCTGTTACTATTCAGGCTGAGATGAATATGGTGAATGGGGTTCTCATATGAGTGCATGACAAACAGCAACTCTGTGAACTGCAGTCCTGGAAGCTGATTTGTAGTGCTGTATTTGGTTTTAGGATTGTTTCTTGTCCTGGTCGGCACACTAGACAACCAACAACAGGTCCAAGAGATTACCTTTCACTGAAACCAGAGACCACCATGAGGCGTTCAAACCTTTATCCCCAGTGAGCTGCCTGTTTAAACTTCACTTGATGCAGTGGGTAGTGTTTCTGGGTTTCAGCCCCACTCCAGTACTTGAATGGTGTGTATTATACACAGCCAAACAGATTTTCAATTGATTCACCTGTAACAGGCAGTGAGAATCCCCTGGCCAGTCCTTCCCAAGAGGAAGCTGCAGCCCAATAGCCTTCCCCATCTTAAAAGACTCCACACAAAAGTTCCTGCCATGTCATTTTTGTTTGGAGGGTCTGCCATACAAATTCCCCATCAATTTTCAGCCATTGCAATCTTCTAGTTCTGTTCCAACTCATGAAGCAAAAGCAAAGAACATAGGACCAGACCCATTGAGCCAACTCCATCATTCAGTTCAAACATGGCTGACTTCCACCTTGTCTGCTTGATCCACCGTCTACCCAAGATCTATCTTCCTTCCATTTGGTTTGACTCACCATCCCAAACCAAAAGTCCTGTTGGTCTGTCTGCAATTCTCAATAGGTCAGAGCCTTTCCAGGAGGGAAAGAACAGCCCATTCTAAACCTAATGCCATTCAAACTGAGTGAGGCTGTCAAGAGGAAATCCAAATACAAACACGGCTGTCGAGGGGGCTGGGGAGGAGTTAACATTCTCAATTATTATATATAAGCCATCAGTAAAACTGGATGGGATTTTTTTTTTTTTTAAAAACTTGACTCGCATTCCACCAAAGTACCACATTGGCTTTCCTTTATAATGATTTAGTTGATCACATGTCCTCCAGTTGGTGCAGTTAGAGGGCCTCTTGCAGTTAGGAGACAGTATTGTAATTCCTTTTATATTAAATTTCAAGGTCCACCTGGCACCATGAACTCCAGACCATGTGATCTTTCCCCTCTGTGCACAGGAGTGGGGAGGTTGATCTGCCTCAATCTTCCCCACCTTTGAGAACATCAAAGCTGATTGTTTTAACTGTGATTATGGCAACCAGTGTACAGTGATGGGGATCAGAGATAGCAAAACAAAAAATGCATGGAATAAAAAGCCAGTGTACTGTATGAGATTGTGTGGATTTTTATACTGTTCTACTTAAACCAGATTAAGCATTTCCAGAGTCACCATCTGGGATATAGGGAGCTCACATATGAATGGGGTGTATTATCTCGGTCTCAAAGCACAAGATCACAATACTCTGGAAAAGCTACACAAAGGTCAATTTCTCACAGGGTCACATACTGAGCACTCTGATTAGGGTGACTCATACAAGTTCGAGAATGGTACTCATCCGCTCAAAGCTGTGGCAGAAGCTTGAATTGGTTCACCACCGGGAGTTGGGTTGAGGGGTCATGCCCTGGATTCATCTCCAAAACTCAACCTCAACAAATGAAGTGGTCAATCCAGTGCAGGAGCTTGTCCACTGATTGAAGCAGAATCTTGGTACCAATACAGTTCAGAGGAAGCTTCACCCTGTAAACAAACTATGCTGTTTTTGCCCCAACAAGTTTGATAGAGAAATGTAGCAGGCCATTTTAGGCCAGGTACATTATCTGTATACTGTCCTAAAATAAGGCTTGCCCTTCTCCATCTCAGAAGCTGCCAACTGCACCATGTGAACACTGTCCCTATTTCAAACAGCAGATATTCTACAAGCTGTGGATTGAAGTCCCTCAACTACACTGCTGTGCTTTCCTTTATCAATAGATATACAGTGCGTCAATCTGGGGTTTTAGCTCAAATTGTTTGTTCACGGAGCCTGCTTTACAAAGTCTAAGCACCAGCAACACTTGGGCTTGAGAATTAAACAATGAAGATGGACAACAGATTTATTTAAAATGCTTTATTGAAGTTTCCAAATTCTGCTGTACTTGTTTAAACAAATCACACAATTTAAACAAATTAGACTTCCACTTTGAGTGGAGAAAATACTGAAAAACATGCAAATGTAAACACTCCTTTGGTAAAGTGAAAGACCGGTCAAGATACTTTGGAAAAATGTAAATAAGCTTCAATCATTTCCCATGTTCCTGTTTACAGTATCTACAGTCTCAATATAAAACACATTCACAATATAGACAGAGCTTTGTGTATAAAAATTTAACAGCCCCATTCCTGGTTACAAATCCCAAAGGATTCCACTTAAAAATTATATGAAAATCTAATTATACCTGAACACAGTATACAAACTAAAAGTCTCCATCCTCAGCGACATACACTGGAATTTATACTGCAGTTACTGATCCTGGATGAATGCATGGCTTGTAGATGGCAACAGCTTGTTTACACTGGTTGACTCCCCAAGCCAGGAGTGAGCTGTGCAGGTGTGTACATATGCAGACAGTTCTGTTCCCAGGCCTTCCATGTTAACTATAATCAGTGGGGGCACTTGTATGTGCACACTGAAATTTCATTTTATTAATGCCTCTTGATATATCAATGTTACAAAATATGTGATCACCTCAGGACTATTTAAACTTGGTTTAAATCCACGTTGGACTAATTGGAGGAGAGTTGAAACTGCTCTGCCACTGAAGGAATGTCTCGTGGTTGAGCCAGAATATGAAGCACTGTACAGGATAAAAATTTGTCTCTGTACATGAAGTGGTTCTATATCTTTGAAAATAGATAGGCCAGTGGGCTTGTATTAAATCCATCCCAGCCTGTTCAGAAAAGCAACAGAAGAACTAATGGTGATCCGGAGTGTCTTTTAATCCTATCTGGTTACAATTGTGACTTGGTGACTTTGTTCACACAGAGAAAAAAGGAATTGACCAAGGATTTACAGACAAGTCACACTAACTTTATTAATGGAAAAATTAATACTGCTCCTCAAAATTCTTTTCCAACGGTCACCACTTTGTACAGCTCAGATTAATCCAGTATGGCTCTACATACATAACACATCTGGTTAACTTGGTTGATTGTGTTGAGGAAGTAACAAAAAGAAAGCAATAGATTTGACAGTCCATGTAGATGCGAGCAAGGCCTTTGATAAGGCTGTACGTTGCCAACTGGTCAGAAAAGTAAAAGTGGAAAGTTGCATCCAAATAAAAACCAAAAGAACTGTGGATGTTGTAAATCAGATCGAATCCAAAATTGCTTCAGACAGCATTGTGGCAGAAAGCAAAGGGCAATGGCCCTTGTGTTTTTTTGTGAATTGAAGATCACTTCTTTGCATTTGCAGTATAAATAACCAATATGGATTTAATCGTACACCCTTCATTTAAGAGGCTTGCAAATGGTACAAAAACTGTCTGAGGTTGACACTGAGAAAGACCGAGGAGCAAAGGAGATTTAATCAAGGGAGTCTTAATATTTTGAGGGGCATGGATAGTGTACGGGAAGGACTTATTTCTGTTGGCAGATATCAATAAATAGAAGACAGATTTAAGTAGAAGGACAAGGTTAGAGTCGTGGAGAATTTCTTTCATCCAGAGATGGTGGGTATCTGGAAAATGCTGCCTGAGACGATGGTAGAAAAAGGAAAATAGACAAGACTTGAATTTACAAAGTGCTTTTCATAATCACAGGGCCTTTCAAGATTTATTCTTTAAAAGTATGTAACTAACTAATGCAGGAGAGTTATTTATCTCACACATATCAACCACCACCCTTACCAAAGAAGAGATAATTATGGGAATACCTCTAAATTTCCTTCCATCCAGATTTGCTGAGAGTGTGGGGGACAAGTGATCAAAAACAATATCCTAAAATTTCCAACCCGATGTCTCATTATAATGTAACACCCTCGCAGGACCTGATGGGATCGATCAACTCAGCTTCCTGCATCACACATGCCCAACTGATGATCCAATTAGACTGGTCGGATAAAGAGCGCTAGTTAAATCTACACCTCACCCAGTATTAGTAACAACCACCCATTCTCGCCAACGTGGGAGCCCCACCATCTGTGGTTCATCAGAAGGCCAATCACCACCTTTCACATGAGCATCTAGGGATGGACAATAGCTGTTGGTGGTGTCACATTCCACAATGAGAAATATCTCAGGCCCCAAACATGCAGTCAGTTTTCCAGGTTCACAGCATGTTCGATGCTTTAATATTAACAACATCCCTCAAACTCTACCCAAGGAAACCCCTTAGCGCAGGCAGGTGAGAATAGTTTAATTTGGGATTGTGGTCAGCCTGGACTGGTTGGACTGAAGGGTCTGTTTCCCTGCTGCTTGACTCTGACTTCAAAAAGGTTAAGATTGGTGTTAAAGACTGATTAAATAAACACACTCATCATCTTTGATGAAGTCCAAATACAAAAAGGGGCGCTGGGAGCTCATGCTGGAACCCTACAGCTGTTTGCAAGGCAGCGAGAGATTGGGCCAGGGGAAGAATGTGGGTGCACGTCTGATCACAAAGTGGCAGGGTTGTGAATACCAAAGGAGGGATAAGAGCAGCAATGACATGGCACATCGTCGCCAGGTGACACTCCATTCCGTGTTGTTTGATGGCTGGGGGCTTTTCAAAGGTACAGTAACGCAAGTGTTGAATTCAAGAGGAGAACAAAAGTTTAACAGATAGACTTCCACATCAAGTCAAAGGTGTGTAACTGCCTTTCAAAGTTCCTTTGTAATACAGACAGTGCTGCATTTACTTGGGGGTACTGAAGGTGGGGCGAGGGGGTGCGGGGTGGGAAAGAAACACAAGTAGTAATTATCTTACATTTTCCTCACCCATGCCCACCACCCTCTTTGGACTCTCACCTCTTGCCCCTATCTGACCACGGCATTAATATTATGACTTTTTACATCCGGTTCTGATTATCATCACTGAAATGGCTTTTCATCAGTCCCTTCCCAGGATCTGCTGGCTTATCTTTAAAACATTACATCTTTAAAAATACACTTCAATCTTCTGGCTGTTAAAAATGATGTACAAGATCCTTAATTATCCTGGGCTGTGCGGTCTCGGGTAGCACAGCCACCAGTGTTGAGGTCAATGCCTCAGAGCCAACTACTACTCATGTAGATATCTACCATTCACACATGCTGTAAATTTGGAATTCCTTCCCCCTCAGCCTGCACTGTGGAATCATAATTTGGATATTTACTATTAAAAATCTTGTTGAATGATGAAAATAAAAATAATTCCCTTTTGGTTTCCAGGCTTCAGCTGCTCCATTTAGTCTCATTCATCCCACCTGACTTGAACACAATATTAAAGAATTGAGGCAGTTTAGAGACACTCAGAACATGAGAGGGGTGCATGTCACTAATCTGGCTGCAGGTAGCAACAGAGGATAGCAACACTGTTGCCAGATCACCACAGAGGTGAGCAGGCTAGATGCATAGCTAGGAGTGCCATACATACTCACCAACACCTGTCTGTTTCCCGTCCAATGACAGTGATCTGCCAATTGTGTCTGATCACTAAATTGCTGAACTGCCAACACAAACAAAACCAAGAAGTGTGTGGCATAACTAAAAAGCACCAGCAATGGTAGATTGAACTGGAAGGGAGAGTTTAAAAATAAAACAGGCATCACAGGCAGCTTGATTTTTCCACAGCAGGAGATACGATGGCCCAGTCAGAAGGCAGTTTGCCACCAGCAACAGTTAGTTACCTCAAGTCTCGAGGGTATTTGGCACTACTGCAATCTCCCATCACCAGTTAAGGTTGGACAGGAGAAAACATTAGTGTCTTTCATGACCTCAGAGCTTTCTAAAGGACTTCACAACCAATGAAATACACCTGGTATGTAATGCCTGCTGTAATGTATGAAACAAGGAGAGGATAGGGACCAACTATAGATTGGACTGTTTGATTGGAAATCCTTTAGCTTCTGAAACCAAAATGTCCTGTTCCCTGCCCTGGAAGGACAGGTGACATTTTTTGCAATTTACATCTAGATGATCTGCACAATTTAGGTCTTTGACAAATAACACCCACAGTTCTGACCAGCTGAGGCCTTACTAGATTTAAAGCAAAAATACTTGAGCTTGTCTCCAACGCTTACAGCCACAACTGAACTTCTTTTAATTACCCGTAAGACAACAACCTACTCAAATGTGATTGTATACTTAATTATCAGGTGTTGGACGCCTTTTACAAGTGGAGAAGTAATAAGCGGGCACCTACCAGCTCAGACAGATGCAGTTACGGTCGGCTGAGCTTCAGGAATCAGAATGGGTAGCTTGCAGGCAGTGCTTTGAAGACTGTGGTATTGTTCAAATTTTACTGGACAGGCTTCTATGATATAAATAAAACTTCATATTTTAGAAAGATTGTTTCTTCAGATTAAGACTGTTTCATACAATAATAAAACTATAAATAACAAAGAGGGGTTAGCATCGGTCATCTCATCTTCCGGTCATTATCCAAGTGCCCGTTTTTGACCTTTCCGCCCAACTGCAGATGCTGGTGACTATAATGTTTGATGAGAGCTCCAGGGAGAAGTGCCACGATGGCTATGACCAGCAGTTTCATCAGGATGGACCAAGAAAACAGGTTATCCAGTGTCGAGATCTCAGACAAGATGCAGCCAGTCTGCACGCAAATGAAGTTATAGGGAAGGAGACCTAAAAGAGAAAAGAATCTGAAGTATTTCCTTTGCTAAAAGGTTTAAAATTCTATCCTCCCCCATTGAAACCATAATTTCTTACTGGGCTGGGTTGGACAAGGTCAGAAGTCTCACAACACCAAGTTATAGTCCATCAGGTTTATTTGAAATCACAAGCTTTCAGAGTGCTGCTGCTTCGTCAGGTGAAGTGAAGATAAGCACACAGGCATGGAATTTATAGGCAAGAGAGATTAAAAGATCGTACAAATGGTGTGAGTGAAGTGTCGACAGGCTGAATAATAAGTCTCTGCAGATGATCAAAAGTGTCAGGCGGTGAGAGTAAAGTGTCAACAGCTGAATAGCAAGTGAAGGGATGACCTATAATCAGATTAAAGGAGGCAGAGGGATAATTACAAAAAATTAAAAATGAGGTGGTGCTGAAGAAACAATGATAGGTATAAGAGTCACACGCTGAGGATCTAACCAAAGTAACAAGTAATCCAAAACTGTACAAACTATTTAATTTAAAGAGATCATAAGGAGTTATGAAGGTGGCGGCGTCAAAACAGGACAGTAAGGAAGATACAGATAAAGAACAGTGTGGTGGGGTCAACTGTGGCGTGATATGAACACAAGATCACGGTTGAGGTTGTCTTCATGGGTACGGAACTTGGCTGTCAGTTTGTGCTCGGCGATTCTGCATTGTTGTGTGTCTCGAAGGCCGCTTACCTGATGACTGGATGCTGAATGTCCTTGACCGCTGAAGTGGTCCCTGACTGGGAGGGAACATTGTTGTCTGACAATTGTTACACAGTGTCCATTCATCCATTGTCATAATGTTTGCATGGTCCTTGACCTGCCCGTCTTCCCTCCCACCTACCCGCCCCTCCCTCCTTACTGACCAACTGACCCATCACAACTCCCTACCTACACTCACCTTTACCAGCTTCATCCCCGTCTCCTTGACCTTTCCATCTTCTCTCCACCTATCTGCTCCACTATCTATCTTCTATCACCGCCTCCCCCTCTCTCTATTTATTTCAGAGCCCCCTTACCCTCTCCCATTTCTGAAGAAGGGTCCAGACCTGAAATGTCAGCTTTCCTGCTCCTCCTTTCCTGCTGTGTTCATCCAGCTCCACACTTTGTTATCTCAGACTCCAGCATCGGCAGTTCCTACAATGTCTCACCAGTATACCATGCCTCGTGGCATCCTTCCCTGCAGCGTTCGAGGTAGACAATATTGGCTGAGTCACAAATATCTGCCATGTACGTGGTGGGTGGAACAGATGGGTTGACCATCATTATACAGAATAGAACAGACTACTCCAAAGAACCGTACCAACAACTGAACAACCAGGAACCCTCCAGGCAACTACCTGTCAACCAAAGAACACACCCATCAACTCAACAGACTGATCAAGACCTTTGATCCAGAACTTCAGAGTGTCCTATGCACTCTCAGCTCACGTACTTCCTGCATTGGAGACTTCTACTGCGTTCTGACATTAGACAAAGCCAACACACCTGGACACTGCATTGTATCAGGCAATTGGACCCTGTGCGAGAACCTCTCTGGCCAAGTCGAAGGTATCTTGAAACTAATTGTACAAGGAACCCCCAGCTTCTGTCACCACACTACAGAAACTCAGCACCCATGGACCAGACAAACCAGGAACATTCCTCATCACGATGGATGTTTTGACACTCTGCACCAGCATCACCCATGATGATGGCATCACTGCAACGGCCTCAGTACTCAACACCAACAACTGCCAATTTCCAGACACTTCATCCGCTTCATCCTGATCCACAACGTCTTCACCTTCGACAACCAGGTTTTCATCCAGGCACATGGAACAGCCACGGGGACCAAATTCACACCCCAATACACCAACATTTTCGTGCACAGGACCTGCGACCAGCACTATACATCAGATACGTAGACGGCATTTTCTTCCTTTGGACTCATGGTGAGGAGTCACTGAAACGACTACACAATGATATCAACAAGTTTCATCCCACCACCAGACTTACCATGGACTACTCTTCAAAATCAGTCTCATTCTTGGACACATGCATCTCCATCAAGGACGCACGCCTCAGTATCTCACTCTACTGCAAGCCCATGGATAACCTCACAATGCTGCACTTCTCTGGCTTCCACCCTTAAAGAAGCCATCCCCTAGGGACAAGCCCTGCATATACACAGGACCTGCTCAAACAAGGAGGGATGTGATGGACACCTAAAGGTGCTGAAAGACGCCCTCATAAGAACGGAATACGATATTCAACTCATCAATCGCCAATTTTGATGTGGCACAGCAAAAAATCGCAACGACCTCCTCAGAACACAAGACACAGGACGTGACCGATAGAGTACCCTTTGTCGTCCAGTACTTCCCCGGAGCAGAAAAACTATGCCATATTCTTTGCAGCCTTCAACATGTCATCGATGATGAACATCTCGCCAGGATCATCCCTACGACCCGACTTCCCGCCTTCAAACAACCGCCAAACCTTAAACAGACCATCATTTGCAGCAAACTACCCAGCCTTCAGAACAACGTAGCAGATGCTACGATAACGGATGAATGGACACTGCGCAACAATCGCCAGACAGGAGTGTTCCCTCCCAGTTGGGGAACACTTCAGCAATCAAGCACATTCAGCCTCCGACCTTCTGATGAGCATCCTTCGAATATATAACACAGAATTGCTGAGCAGAAATTGAAAACTAAGTTCCATACCCATGAAGACGACCTCAGCCATGATCTTGAGTTCATGTCGCGCTACATGTAACCCCGCCATACTGTTCTGTATTTGTAAAATCTTTCTTACTGTCCTGTTTTGGCACCATCATCGTCACCGTCACCATAATTTATGATCTCTCCACCTTAATTAGTTTGTAGAGTTTTGGATTACTTGTTACATCGCATAGACCCTTAGCACGCAGCTTTTATAAATATCATGTTATTCCAGCTGTTTGGTTTGTTTCCAGCACCACCTTATTTTTAATTTCTTGTATTTATCTCTCTGCCTCAATTAATCTGATTATAGATTATCCTTTCACTTGCCGATCAGCTGCTGACACTTTACTCACATCATCCGACACTTTTGATCACCTGCAAAAACTCATTACTCAGCCTGTTGACACTCCACTCACCATTTGTACGATCTTTTGATCTCTCTGCCTACAAATTCTCTGCTATGTGCTTTTCTTCACTTCACCTGATGAAGGAGCAGCACTCTGAAAGCCTGTGATTTCAATTAAACCTGTTGGACTATAACCTGGTATTGTGTGACTTCTGACCCTCAGGAAACCGACAAACATAAACAGTGAGACTGTAGGCTAACAACGAGAATGAGCACAGATCCAAGTTGAATGTTTCCTTCTATCTGTTAGACGAGGGAAGGTAAATGGACAACAATCAGGAGGAACCATGATAAAAGCTTCCTCAGTTTCATTGAAAGCTCTCGGTATCGGTTAGACAGAGCAAAGCTCCCATGACGTTTCCTTCCCGATATTCAACAGCATCGCCCAAGTACACAACAGGCTTCACAAATCTGGGTTACAGCACACAGGAAATGAACATTTGATTGCCTATTCACAGGGTCTCAAGGTGAATGGCCGCCATTTCCAAATAACAACCTGAAACAAGTAGTCATGACTTAAATTCCCATCCACCTTTGCAATAATCGTCCATTTGATCCCTTCAGCCCAGCTCCCAGAATTGTTATATTGGATAAAGCAGTTATTTGTCTAATTGTAACTGTATCAGCTCCTGCATCTCATTTAGTATCTTTATCTTGCCTTTTTTAATAAAAATACACACATTCTTTATTTCCAAATAAACATTAAATTCCACTTTGAACCCTTTGAGTGGAACTGCCTCCATCACAATCTCAGGCAGCGCACACCAGACCCTAACTACATGCCGCCTGAAAAACTTCCTTATACCACTGTGATTCTTTAACCAATTACTTCAAATTTGTGCCCTCTTGTTCCAAGTAGGAAGGTTTTCTCCCTATTTAGGTTGTCTAGACACCTCATGATTTTGAATACTTTACCTAGATCTCCTGTCAGCTTTATCTTCTCCAAGGAGAACAGGCCCAGATTCTCCATTTTATCCCTATTACTGAAATTCCTCACGCTCAGAAAAATTCTTGTAAAGATCTCTCCAGTTTATTCACATCTGCCCTAAACTGTAGTACGTATAACTGTACTCAATACTCCAGGTGAAGCTGAACAAGTGTCTTGTACGAGTTCAATAATATCTCCTTTCTCTTGTACTCTCTGCCTCATAAATAATGGCTAGGATACTACGTGCTTTGTAAACTGCTTTCTCAATCTGCCCAGCCAACTTCAATGACTTATACACTTATAACACCCAGGTCCCTCTGCTACTGCACTTACTTTAGATTTTCACTCTGTTTGATGTTCTCTCTACCAAATTGTATTACTCCACACCTCTGCTTTGAACTTCATCTACCAGCCTACTGCCCTAACTTGTCAATGGTCTACTGGAGTTCCACACTGTCCACCTTGGAGGTTACAAGTTTCCAAGTTTCTATGATTCACAAATCAGGAAAAGCAAGGTCCCAACAGTGCATCCCAGAGAACTCCACCTCAAACCATTATTCTTCAACATCTTTTCACCATTACTGTTTCTTATCCCTCAGCTAGTTTATAACCACATTGTTACTGTCTTTCTTCCAGGAGCTCAAACTTTCCTTAAATCTGCATGGCACTGTATCAAATGCCTACAGAAAGATCATGTACACCGCATCAACAACATTACCTGACTAACCCTGTTACCTCTTCAGAGAACTCCGGGAAGTGCTCCTGAACCCGCATTTATGTGACTAATCCTCATTGTTTTGATGTATTGCTTCTATAATTTTGTCAGCCACTGAAGTTAAACTGACTGATCTGTAGTTATTTGGCTTACCATTATACCCTTTACGAACAAGGGTATAATGTTAGCAATATTCCAGGCCTCTGACAGCAGCCCTTCCTAGCACAAGGAAGACTGAAAAAATTACTACCGCCTCTCTAGATTCTAATTATACAGGAGCGGGAATTAAAACATCCACATGCAGGGTGAAAAACAGAGGCTAACTGCCAACTCGAGGACGGACCAAGAAAGACGGTTTGACTTACGTGCCGAGTACATGCAAAACACGGAGATGGGGTGAAGGGGTTGTCTTTTACATTGAGATTTACAGTAGGAATCATAGCTCACCAATTACAATGGAGAAGAAGAACTGCATGAGAGGAACATTGAGAATGGGAGATGTGATGTTTAGGAACCAGTTTGGAGTCATTGGGAAAAACCTGAGGAACAAAAGGAAGAAAAAGAGACTGTTCCTGTTTTCTTGCACCTGTAAGTAGAAAATCAGAAAAAGAGAGGCAGAATTAATACTCCAACATGGTAAAAACAACTCTACAAATGTTTTTGATATTAAATGAGCAAATTATAAATCCACAAACCCTGGACTGTTTAATCAATTTCAGCGCCTGTCTGGCTAGGTTTCTCCTTTTCATCCATCAAGTAAAACAAAAACAAATTCCTTTGAGAGTTTGTTATAGTGGAATTCTATGATTTTTTTAAATATGGTATGCGAAAACGTACAGTTCTTTACTGTTGGCTGGTCGGGCTGCTTCCTTTGTCTCTGGCCCAGCTCAGGATTTCTGGAACTGATGTCAAAGTTTCCCCAGAGTACACAGAGTGAGTGAAAGGATCTCAGATGAATGAAACCATTAGCTCTGCAGGCTCCCCTGCCTTCTCAAGGCCAAGTAACTGGTGCACCTGATATCAGAGGCTCAGTGTGTTCAGGAATAAGTGTATGAAGCAGGAATGTTAAATTTCACTTCTTTGTTTTTAAGAAAAAGGACCATTAGCAATGTTGAGTGACAGTAGATAAATCAAAATTCCAGGTGCCCTTGAATTGCCCCCATTTAATTACCTTATTTCAATAAACCTGACTGAAAGTACCTTAAAGGTCCTGCATCTTCTGCAATATTGCTCTGTACACTATAAATATATCTTTGCGTATTATTATAGTTCATACTGCTTTATACTGGAACAGAGCAGCAAGAACCAGAGTGGCTGTGTGAAATCAGAACAGAAACCATGTTGGCAGCAAGCCTGAAATTTGGCTGCAACTGCTTAATGAGTTATAGCACTTATATAGAAACAGGAGTTAGCCACGTGGGATCTGCTCCACCATCGTGTGATAATGGCTGACCTTCATCTTCAAGCCCAATTTCCCCACCCTGACTCCCCATTTCTCTCTATTCCCACAGGACTAAAGGTCTGTCCATCACATCCTTAAATATATTCAACGACAGAGCATCTGCAATCCTTTAGAATCAGGTAGTTTTAAGATCTCTGCACCAATTTCTTTCCAAGCACAAAAATGAAGGTCATCAGTTCCTAGGGATTTGTCAAATTTTAGTCCAAGTTTCTACAGTTTCTTTTTCTGATATTAATTACTTTAATTTTCTCACTTATTAATTACTTGGTTTCCATCTATTTCTGATTTGTAAAGTATGTCTAATTGGGTGAAGACAGAAAAATATTTGTTCAAAGTCTCTCCAATTTGCACATTCCCTTGATAATTTATCCTACCCCTGCCTCCAAGGGACCAACAATTAGTTTAGCTACTCTCCTTTTTATACACTTGTAAAAGTTGTTTTGCCCCTGGATATTCTTGGCTAGTTTACCCTGATTTTAACTCTTTCCCCTTCTTTAAGGATCCATTTTACTTTGATCCATTGGTGCTTCCTAAAATGGTTCAAGTCCTCAGACTTATTAGAATTCTTCGCAACATTATAAGCCTCTTCACTGAAGCCAATACAATTCGTAACTTCATTAGAGTTATCCATCCATAGCTTACTAGAGTTTTTGCTTTGTTTTAAATGAAACATCATTTGAATTGATTCTTTAAACATGTCCCACCGTTTTTATTTATTATTTTATTTCATGGGATCAAGGCTTCATCAACCAGGCCAACATTAGCTACCCAACTCTTATTACCCTTGAGCCAAGCTGCTGCCTAGACCAGTTCAGAGGGTAGTTGAGTCAAGCACATCACAGAGCTGGAGTTGCAAGTAGGTCAGAACTGGACAGTAGATTTCATTCCCTGAAGGACATTAGTCAACCAGCCTGGTTTATGTGATAATCGATGAATGTTTAACAGTCATTTGCACAGCCAATAGGCTTTATTAAAATCACTGAATCTTTTAAATTCCACGAGCTGCCGTGGCAAGATTTGAACCAATGTTCTCAGGACAAAGGTCTGGGCCTTTGGATTACCAGTCCAGTGATATTACCACTACTCTCATATCCTTCAAGTCTATTTATCCAGCTCTCCCCTTGTCCCTCTGCAATTGGCTTTAAGTTTAACGTTGTTCTTGGCAGAATGTCACTTTTACTTCCCTCACCCACCTGATTTTTTTTCTTAAAACACAGATTATTAACCCTGCCCATTGCACAACACTGAATTGCACATAGCTTTACCCCTTACCGATCCCACAATGTATCAAGACAGTTTTCTTGAAGCAAAACCATTTGCAAAATCATCTTCCAGATCACCTTTGCCCATTTAATTGCTCCAGTCTACATTAAGACCAAAGTCCCAGTAATTACATTAGAACTTGGTCCAAAGGTAATAATTTCTTGTTTAATGATCTATAGAACTACATGACACAGCCTATTAACTAATCCCCATAGCATTTCCAGACTCTTGCTATTCTTACTTTTCAAGCATACTGATTCTACTCTTGATCCTATTAAACAAGATATTTTCTCATGACAGTCCTTTACTGGAAGGACTATTCTCATTTCCATTCTGTCTTTTCCAAACGTACCGTGGATTATTTACTTCTCTACCTCGGTCACCCTGTAACTGCATCTCTGTAATTGCACAGAAGTATAAACCATTTATCCTTTTGTACTAATGGATCTATCTTACCATGGATGCTTCACACTTTTGCACAGAGTCTTAATATTATTTTACTACTACTATTCGCATGGATCTTGTTCACTGATTTATCATGTTAAACACTCTGTTCCTTCCTGTCGAACTCTGCATGACTTTTACACAATCGCAACATTGTTCTATGGCCTTGACTTCACTCTTTGAACAGTATCTATTCCCTTGATTATGTCAGCCCCTATCACTACCACATTCCTATCATGACCCCGATTTGAATGGCATACTGCACCATGATCAAGCAACAACTTCTATCAGTCAATATCAAGAGGGTTAGGCCTCCCTACCAGCTGAATTCATTGTCACACATTCCAGTCTCTGACCATTAACTGAGTCAGAAGTTCTAATGGGTCTAAGGAACTAAGAGACGTGACTGCGTCTTGGAATAAAGTATCCAGATAGCAATTCCCCTTCCTGATATGCCAAGTGTCAGTAAATCAGAGTCCAGCTGACTGACTTTGGGCCCAAGCTGCAGATACTCTGAACATGTGGCTGTCCGGAACTATAATTCATTCCACAAACTCTCATCTTGTAGGCATAGCACACTAACTGCTCTGCTATCAATCACTCATCTTAATAGCAAGATACAGTCCCCTAGTCTGGAGACAGAAGAACATCATTGACCAGCTACTCAAGGTAGCTTTCCCTTTGCACCAAATTCCCACATAAATGCAGTTTACAAAGCATCAAGTTCTTGGTTTATTCCGTAGAGTGGCAAACACTTGATTTATAAAAAGAGCTTACAATCCATATCTAAATTACAATTAATCATTTTTCTGCTATGGCGACTAACACCTATTCAGGCTAGCACTTAACACAAACTGCCTGGAAATGGCAGTTAATGAGCTACTTGGGTTAGCCTGCACCTTTCATTTTGCAGTTTTAAAGTGCTAATTCAGTCTAATAGTTCTAAATTATAGGTCAAGAAGTAAAGAGAGAGAACCCTCCCGCACATGTGCTGTGTGTAGGCACCCTTTCTGGAGATTTGCAAAGTGTGTCACACTTGCCTTGCATCATCTCCTCAAATTCACTGTCACTCATCTGCAACCACCCTGTGACATCCATCATCCAACTGCCTCCGGACTTAGCACTTGGATCACAGACCACACTGTTCTCAGACCACCATACTTTCTGATTATTATTTATTCAGTACTTCAGTGATACCCTCTGCTTCCACAGGAAGACTCCTTTCATTGTACTTCATCAACCCCACTGCTCTTTTTACTTTCCTCTTACTTACTGAGACAGCCGTTGCCAAAATTTTGTAATATTTTGAAAATAGGTGATATCCATGATGAGCCACAGTGCAATGTCTGCTCAGGATACAATACAGTTCACTTATTCAGCCCCTTAAACCTACTTAACCATCTAGTTAGATCATAGCTGATCTGTACCCCAATTCCACATGCTAGCTGTTGCTCCAAAATCCTCAAAACCCTTCAAAAATTCAGCCTTAAAAATCATTGACCTCTGCCTAGCATTTTAGGGGAGGGAGCTGCAGATTTCTACCTATCTTTCATGCAACAGAACGCTCTTCTTAATTTCACTGACTGGCTTCTTCTAACTTTAAAATTCTGCACTGGATAGCTTCCACCAAACTATAAAACTTCTCTGTAACAGCCTATCAAATCTCTTATTTTCAATTAGGTCACACCTCAAAGGAATACAACCCAAGTTCATTCAATTCGTCCTCAATTCATGTACACTTGTCCAAAACCTCTGGATTCAAGTCTCTCTCCAGGCATTTAGCACATAATCCAAGTTGATACTTCAGCGCTATACTCTAGGATGACAGGTTAAACCTCCATGATGCAAAATTTTACACAAGAGTTCCTCTAGTGCCTTGGTCTATATTTATCCTTCAACTAATAGTTTTAAGTAGTTCTTTATCTTAGAACTGCTTGTGGAGTCTTTGCTATATGCAAATTGGCTGCACATTTGAACTGCGGCTTAAGGAAATTTTTGAAACATCCAGAGTTCAAAGCAAGCTTCTATCCTCCCTGTTACTATACTGAATTTACTCCACCATATGAAGTCAGGGCGATTAGATTATTTACCTTTTGTTGTAGCATTGAGAGTCTCTCAGGAAATCGTTGCACCACAAACTGTTTACCGTATGTCTTGGAGAGCAGGAAGCAGAAGGTTGCTCCAATTGCTGTTAAAACACAGCACAAGGCAAGGCCCAGCCATGGTCCAAATAATGCACCTGCTAATATATTCTATATAAAGAGAGAGGCTGCATTATTGAGGAATGATTAACTATTTATATCTACACAATAAATTTTCTGCAACAGCTAAAAGACAGGAGACACAGGAGAACAGAAAGTGCTGGAAATACACAATGGGTCTGAGGATCACAGACCTGAAACGTTAAATGGAGTTTCTCCCTCCACAGATGCTGCCAGAACTGCTGAGTATTTCCAGTATTTTCTGATTTTATTTCAATTTTCTAACATTCACAGTACTATGAAAGGAAAACATTGAGGAAGGCCAAGTAGCTGAACATAATCCACCACTGCCAGAGCAGGGCACTCCACAGATTCAGCTGAACTGAAAACTGTCAGCTCACATAGTTAATAGCCAAGTCAAAGCAAATGGCAAAACTCACTATAGTGCAGGAAGGATAGACCGGTAACAGCAATGCTGAAAATTAATGTAACGCTATAAAAACACAAGCTCAAATTCCTGAAAAAAAGAGGTGCCAAGCTGGAAAGGGATTATTGAACCTCAAACTGTAGGGTTTAGCAAGCCAGTAAATCCTAGCTGATTACACAGATCTCAGTTTAAAAACTTGAAAACATGATTAATCGTCTGTTTAAAATGACACCAATTGAGAAAACTGCTCCCTAACAAAACCAAAAATTACTGAAAGCATTATTTAAAAATGTTTTGAAATCTCAACTAAACTCAAGTGAAAAATGTTATTCAAGGATACGATGCCGAAGACGGAGGTCTGAAAATCTTGTGTGACAGGAATTAATCATTATAGTACTTCTGATCGCTAGTGAAATACAAATGCCTTTAGGTCACTTTAAATAGGTGGAATTACTAAACTTCAAATCAGTAGAAAAGTCATTTTTCCCTGCGTTTACCTTCTACTGACCGTGAATCAATGCATTTGTATCAAATCACCAAAATGACTTCAGTATTCAGTACAGCTGGTGCATTTAATACACAATGTCTGTGTTTGCAGCCTTGCTGGATTCTTTACGTGCAAAGGGAAGCACGTGGCAGTGCTTTGCAAAATATTTTCCAATGTGACGCTAGTTCAACACTCCATCTTCTTGAGGACAATCAGAGATGGGCAACAAATGCTGTTCTTGTCAAGAACACCCACGTCAGATGAACTGGTAAAACACTTGAAAATTAAAATGGACCCAAACATCAGCAAAACTAAATAATAAAGCAATAATAGCAATAGCCATCATGTAAATATTTGAGTTGGTACATCAGATATCACATTTTTCTATTTAGATGACATATGTTCCCAAAAGTACTTTTAAATATTACTTTATATATTTCTGTAAGTTTCAGAAAAGCTCTGTATAATCCGTGGTGAAAGAAGACTCAGCCCCTCTGCCTCCACTCTTTCCAAAACTCTCCCCACAGTCATTTTGCAGTGCCTCTCATTAACATCCCATCTCCATTTATTCACTGAGCCGACCTACTTCCAACTCCCTTCTTCTGACACTCACTCAAGAGACACTATCCCCAATACCTCTCCCTCATCCTCAAACCTCCTGTTTCATTGCTAGCTGATCTCCACCTTCTTCCCCCCCCCCCCACCCCAACTGGTGATTTGCTGAAGACATGGTTCCAACAAGCTGCCAGGTCTGGGTTGCTGTAAGGCTGAGTGGTGGTTCCCCTAGATCCTGCTCCTGGCCTTGTTACCAACTGAGATTTTCCAGTCCAAGACTTTTTGGTGGCTTTCAGCAAGCTGGAGCAAGACCCAGCACAAACCAAGTTCTCACTAAGCCAAAACAGGCCAAGACATCCCAGGTTCAATCCTTACTCCATTAGCCAATTTCAAACAAAGTAGCAACTGAAGCACCATAATCGCACTGAGCAATACAGGGCTATGGGGCCAAAGTCATCACAAACACCCAAGAATCTCACTGCTGATTGTTAACAAACTGCAATCCTGCTAGACAGTGTGCATATTTGGACTCAAGTTTTCACAAAATTACTCATGTCCAACTTGGCTGCATTAAATATCAAGTATCATAGCTTAATTTCAAAACTGCCCAAAAAGGGTACGCCACGCCCATAAGATAGTTACTTAGCATTTTTAGGAGAGGAAAATTGTGTTGCACAGAAGGCAGCCACGTGTTCGACTGTACACGTGCCACCTCTCGAAAGGAGTTACCACTTAGGCCCATACCTTGTAATTCCCCGGTACCCTTAGAGTTTTCTTCAAATATCTGGACACCTCTCATTCCCCCACCCCCACTGTTCACAGCATTCTACATCAGAAGATCACAGAATCCCTACAGCGTGGAAACAGACCCTTTGGCACAAGTCCACACCAACCCTCAGAGCATCCCATCCAGACCCATCCCCCTATAACCCACATAACCTACACATCCCTGAACACCACGGGCAATTTAGCATGGCCAATACACCTAGCCTGCACATCTTTGGACTTTCTAAACTGTACTTTGTTACTTCAATGATCTTTCATCTACTGAACAAAAAATTTGAATATTCCTTATTTAAAACTCAAAGAGCTTTGATATTGCCAATATATAAATGTAGATTTTTCCACTTGTCAAAACTACTAAATACAAGATGGTCACCAATAAATCCAGATAAGGAATTCAGAAGAAGTCTCTATAGGTGATACTTCCTATCACAGAGTGGTACCAACAAGTAGCACAAATGTAGTTAAGAAGAAATTCAGGGAGGAGAAAGGGATGCTCATCAGCTGAGCTGACATAAACTAGGAAGACTCCTGTCCATCATAAACACGGACATGGACCAGATGGGCCAAATGACCTATTTCTGTGCTATAAATACTACATAATTTAACCACAGCCGTCTTTAGTGTTTTTTTACGGAACAGTAACAGCCTCCAGGCACACACCTAATGAAAATGTTGGTGTTTCTTTTCCTTGCATTGTCAAAATACCTCACATTGTATTCCCTGGAAGTCATTTATATTTACAGACTTTCACATTGCAACACAGCTGCCCAGGCTCAATACTTGCCAGGAAGGAGGAGCCAGGGATTGCAAAGGTCTGTTTGTAGAGGTATGCACTACAGAACAGTAGGAGTACATAACCAGCATGCTGAGCTCTGTAGGATTGCAGCAAGCCAGCAATCGCTCGCAGTTCTTCCAGGTCAGATGGAAATGTCAGTAACCTACAGAAAGCAAAAGAAAATAGCATGATTGCCCCTATGAACTGACAGCACAACTGAATTAGATTCATATACATATGTAATCTCATCCAAGTAGACTTCTTATCTAAGGAAAGCATTTAATTATCTGTAAATTTTTGAATTCAGGACCAAAGGTGATGAATAAAACTCAGTGGAGAAAACCATCAAAGTTGTAAACAAGTTAATGAGGAAGTACGGATCGTTTGACGTTAATCTTGGTTCTTAAAGATCCTCTTGTATGAGGTGAAGAGTACCATAGCTGTGAAGTCTGGGGAAGTGCTTCAGGCAACTCCAGGCACTTTAACTCCATTTCAACAGATCGGAGATTTCAGATTGGAGTAAGGTACATAGTAAGAGCACCCAGGAACAAAATGGCTTTTCTTAGTCTATCTTAAAGACCTGGATTTTGGTGTACAGGGCACAATTTGAAAATTTAAGAATCAAACAAAGTGTGGAATATTCTAAACTATGAAGTGGATAGTTACCAACTTAGAGGACCAGAAAGGCCAGCAGCTGGGCACATAGTGCAAAAAAAAAGTGTAAAATGAAACATTTTGTAGTAAGAACACATACAATAAAGCATCCAATTCTAAAGAACAAAGGAGTCTTGTGGTGAAGTGGTACTGTTCTGATAGCTGGTCCAGGAGGACTTAGCTCAAGTTCATCTGCTCCCTAGATTTGTAACGCCATCTCTGAATAGACTGATTAGAAATATCTACAATTCTAAAGAAGGTGCAGAGGAAACTAGGAGTATATGTGCATAAATTATTGAAGCTGGCAGGGCAGGTAGAGAAAGCAGTTAATAAAGCATACTGGATCTTCAGCTTTATAAACAGAAACAGAGTACAAATTTAAAGAGGCTGTGCTTAATCTTTATAACACACTGGTTTGGCCTCACCTGGAGTACTGCATCCAGTTTTTGATGTCAGACATCAGGAAGGAGATGAAAGAGTAAAAGACAGTGTTGAAATTTTACAAGAATAATTTTGGAGATGACAATTTCAGTTAGGTGGACATTCAATACTATCTAGGAACAAGGGCAGGGTTTATTACAAGGTTTTCAATAGGTTATTGAAATCAACTTAGCAAGTTGGACAGAAGAAGTCAGAAGAGAAGGTTGCTGTGCTTGGGCTACCAGTCAGTCAGGTACTCAGAAGCAGAGAGAAAAGTGTCTAAGGCTCTAAGCCGTCCAGGATCTAGGATGTAGAGCCAATTGTTGGGATAAACATAGAAACATAGAAGATAGGAGCAGGAAGTGGCCATTCAAACCTGCTCCACCATTCTTCACGACCACAGTTGATCATACAGCTTAATAGCCTAATCCTGCTTTCTCCCCATAGCCTTTGATCCCATTCACCCCATGTGCTATATCTAGTCACTTCTTTGATACATTCAAATGTTTTGGCATCAACTACTTCCTGTGTTAATGAATTCCACAGGCTTACCACTCTTTGGATGAAGAAATGTCTAGTCATCTCCATCCTAAATCATCTACCCCAAATCCTCGTACTGTGACCCCTGGCACTGGACAGACCCACCATCGGGAACATCCTCCCTGCATCTACCCTGTCCAGTCCTTTTAGGATTTTATATGTCTCTATGAGATTCCCCCCGTCATTCATCTGAACTCTAATTCAAACAATCCCAACCTAGTCAATTTCTCCTCATACATCAGACCCGCCATAAAGACTCAAAAAAAAGCCCTGGGAACTATGGAAGCTCCATGCAGCTGAAAGAGAATGAAGGAAGCTCTAGGGTAAAGTTTATTGCTGTTTGGTCAAAACAATGGAATCCTGAGGCTTTATTCCCTTTGAGAGATCCCAGCTGCCTTTCTTCTGATGATAAGAAAAGTTATAGTCCTAAAACAGATTGTAATATAAATCTGATGTTCTGGTCTGAGATCGTAACCCAACTTGACATGAATTATAACACAGGCTGTAGCACTTTGGATGAGCGCACATTTGGGTGGACGGTGGAAAATTGGCCAGAAAAGCATTGGAAGAGGGAAATCTGGAGACAAAGTCATGGATGAAGGTTTCAGCAGCAGACAAGCTAAGACAGTGTCAGAGCTGGATGATGTAATGAAGGATGAAGTAGATTATCATAGTGATGAAGCAGGTAAGTAGTTGCAATCTAGATCGATCAACAATGGGAAACATTTAAAAGTTCGTCCAAAATAAAGTCCACTAAAAGTAAAGAGAAAAACTAGACACTATTATAACTCCATGGATAGACACAAGGAAACAACTACAGGTTAGGAATGAGGTGACAGTAACTACGTAGACAGCAAAAATGCATAGGGTAAGAGAGAATAAGAGATCACGAGAATGTTCAAAGAACAATTAAAAGGGCAGAGAGGAACTATGAAATTACATTAACAAGTAACATGAAACAGAATGTACAATATTTTATAGGCATATGAATTTACCAGGGAGATAGGACAAGTGGCCATCAAACTGACTAATATAGGAGATCTAAGATCAAAAGTGGTCTCATTGAATAAACTAATTAAAAAGGATTAAAATCCCTGTTCCAGATGGATTGCATCCACATATTTCAAAAGCAATCTAGGAGGCAATAGCTGAGGGATTCCTGCACACATCCAAGAAGCTGTTAGAAAAAGGTAGTGTGCCAGGGAACTTGCTGACAGCTATCGTAATTCCTATAAATAAACAGGGCAGAACATGAGCAGGGAAGTTACAAAACAATCACCTTTAACATCAGTGATTTAAAAAAACAAGATCCTTGCTATCAAAAGGAAGAACACCCATAAAAGTCAATAACAAACAGCACAGTGGACAAATATCATTTGATCAATCTTATTCAATTTTGAGGGGACATCAGGCAAAAAAAAACAAGATTTTTGCTTTCAGACACTAATGGATCTACTGCACTTTCCCACACATAGTGATTGGAACACATTTGTTAGTAAGCACATCTTTGGGATAACTCTGGTTTAAACAATTTCAGTTGCAGTACCTGCAAGACATCTAGCTTTGCCAACTTAGCTCACAACTCCTTCACACTTTCAAAGAATAAAATCACACTAAATTGGTATTGATAACATTACAGATACCAGAAAATCTATACATAACTGAGAAAAACTCTTTCCAGCACCATACAAGTGTGAAATTTCCCAACTCGTTGAGAAGAGAGAACATCAGGTAGGTTAAGATGACAAGAGGCATTGACAGAGTAAAGACAAAAACTAATTCCTCTGCTTAATGAGTCAGTAATGAGAACTTGCCTAAAATCAGTCATCTGGAGAGGAGACAGAGAGAATCTTGTTTTCACAAGAGTTTTTGCGATCGGAAACACTACCTGAAAAAGATGGCGGCAGCCAACACTCTGACCATCACTGGGATACCGTGAGGTGGAGAAGGGAAGGGAAGAAAGCTAGACCACAAATGATCAGTCGGTGATAGAAGGATAGAAAATAGGAGCAGGAATCGGCCAATATGACCATCCAACTCAATTTGCCCCAACAGTACAAGTGCCCGGAGGTGGACGGAACAGCCAAATTCAGTGGGGCAGATGGCAGTGTAACCTTGCTGTGCACAAACCTCCATTTCCAATGAGCAACAGACTCCCTTCGCACACCGACAGACATAGGAGGCCATGACTCCTGCCTCTCTCTGTACCATCCCCCATTTGGACCCTCTCTCCTCGCCTTTCTTCCTCCGGCGCTCACCTGGATTCCTGCCTCTCCTCTTCCTCCTCCTGGCCGTTCAACGGCTCCCGGCTGTGCGCTGCATGGGGCAGGTTGCTGGACAGCACGTACAGATAGGCCGTGGCAGCGGCGAAAATGAGCACCAAGCCGACAGGAGACTTGGCCGACATGAACCCAGACCCGAAACCGGGAGCCCACGCTGTTCCCTGGCGCTGACGATGTCGACGACGAGAGCACGGCAGTGCGCAGGCGCCCCGCCGGCACGTCACATGACCGTCACGGCGGCGCGCTGTTAGACGTCACAACGGCCCCACCCCCTCGGCGCCATGGCAACGGTACACCCCAGTTCCACCTTGGTACTTTGTTGATGGTTTGAGATACATTCATGACCACTGTAATTGAGATAAATTTTAGATTCCAGATTCATAAACTGCTTGTCTAACCCAGCGGCTACCCATTAGTGTTAATTTTAAGCATGTCCCCACAGCACTAAAGGCCCTGGAACTGTAGATGACTGGCCCCCAGTAACTTGAAATGAATTGAATTAGCTTTAATGTCACATGTACTCACTCCACAGTTATCATGCTGCACTTGCTGCTTTAGAATGGCCAGACTGAAGCTCTGCTCCAGGCACAGAGTTTTGAGCAATACTGAAATAATTTGTGGAATTCCCAAAGAACGAGCATTGGCATTGAGATAACAAGGTGTAGAGCTGGATGAACAGAGCAGGCCAAGCAGCATCAGAGGAGCAGGAAGGCTGACGTTTCGGGCCTAGACCCTTCTTCAGAAATGGGCATTGACGGAACCAAAGGGATCTGTATAAGGAGAACCCACTGACTAAGATAGATAGCGCTGTCTAATAAGTTATCTCTTCACACCATGTAAGAATTACATGCTGACAAGAAATTTTGCAGAAACACCAAGCCTGCTGTTCCTGGAAAACGCACAGGTCTGACGCACATCGAGGAAATTGTATTAAACAGAAGAAAAGAAATCTGGGAAACGCTCAGCAGATCACACAGGTTGGAGAGAGAAATCGATTTAACACTTCAGGTTGATGGCCTTTCATTAAAACTGTAACACGAACGCCTTTACAAATGCAAAGCCAGGGAATAGGTGGGGACGAGGGTAATGTGAGAAGGGGGTGATGTAAAGAATAGAAAGAAATTGATTAAATGACATACTTGATTAAAAGACGAAAATGGAGCAAGATAAAAGCAATGAAACAAAAAATGTAATAAGAGGAGTTCTGAATGATTGTTACAGACTATAACAAAATATTCCCATTTCAGGGAGGAGGTTCATGAGGCCAAAGGAGGTGCTGGAGAACGGACTGCAGCTCACCCTGCTACCTGTAAAACAATAGGAAAAGCCACCTGCCCATCGCCCTGAGCAACAGCCGTTCCCATTTCACTTGTCCTCCATGAGTAAACTTTGTTATAGAGTCAGAGATATCTACAGCACAGAAAAAGATCCTTAGGCCCATCACGTCCACACAGGTCAAAAAAGCAAGCACTTAACTATTCTAATTACATTTTTCAGCACTTGGCCCACAGCCTTGTGTGCCTTGTACATCTTAAATACTTCTTAAATCTTATGAGGGTTTCTGCCTCTACCATCCTTACAGGCAGTGAGTTCCAGATTCCCAGATTCAAAAGAAATTTTTCCTCACATCTTGTCTAAACCTTCTGCTCCTTACCTTAAATCTATGCCCCTGATCATTGATCCTTTCATCAAAGGGAAAGGTTTTGTCCTGTCTACCCTATCCATGCCCTCCATAATTTTGTACATTTCATTCATGTACCTTCTCAATCTCCACTGCTCAATGGAAACAACCCCAGTCTGTTGGGTCTCTCTTCATAACTGAAACTCTCCAGCCCGGGCAACATCATGGTAAATCTCCTCTGTACCCTCTTCAGTACTATCACATTCCTTCTATAAGGTGGATTCCAAAACTGCACACAATACTCCAGCTGGGGCCTAATCAACATTTTATAGAGCTCCAGCATAACCTCCCGGCTCTTAAGTTCGGTGCCCCAACTAATAAAGGCAATTATACTATATGCCTTATTAAGCACTTTATCCATTTGTCCTGATAAACTAGGGAACCGGTATACATGCACACTGAAGTCCCTTTGAACCTCGGTGCTTCCAGGGTCCTACCATTCATCATGTACTCTCTTGCTTTGTTTGTCCTGCCCAAGTGCATCACCTCACGTTTATCCAGATTGAATTCCACTTACCACTGAACAGCCCATCTGACTAGCCTATCTATATTTTTCTCTAATCCAAGGCTACCTTCCTCACTGCTTACAACCTCACCAACTTTTGTATCTGTGAAATTACTGATAAATCCTCCTACATTCGTCTAAATCATTTATATAAACTACAAATAGCATAGGCTCTAATAATGACCCCTGCGGGACCCACTGGACACAGACTTCCAGTTGGAATAAAATCCCTCAGCTATCAATCTCTCCTTCCTGCTACTCAGCCAATTGTGAATTCGATTTACTGCATCCCATGGTCTCCTACCTTTGCTCTCAGGCTCCCACATGAGACCTTATCAAAAGCCTTGCCAATGTCCTAGTAGACAACACCAAAAGCATTTACACATCTGTTCACCTCTTCAAAAACTCAATAAATTTGGTCAGACATGACCTCCCCCTAACAAAAACCAAGTTGATTAATCCCTGATATAGCACGGTGTAGAGCTGGATGAACACAGCAGGCCAAGCAGCATCAGAGGAGCAGGAAGGCTGACGTTTCGGGCCTAGACCCTTCTTCAGAAATGGGGGAGGGGAAGGGGGATCTGAAATAAATAGGGAGAGAGGGGGAGGCGGATAGAAGATGGATAGAGGAGAAGATAGGTGGAGAGAAGACAGACCGGTCAAAGAGGCGGGGATGGAGCCAGTAAAGGTGAGTGTAGGTGGGGAGGTAGGGAGGACATAGGTCAGTCCAGGGAGGACGGACAGGTCAAGGGGGCGGGATGAGGTTAGTAGATAGGAGACGGGAGTGGGGCTTGAGGCAGGAGGAGGGGATAGGTGGGAGGAAGGGACAGGTTAGGGAGGCGGGGACAAACTGGGCTGGTTTTGGGATGCGGTTGGGGGAGGGGAGATTTTAAAGCTTGTGAAGTCCACATTGATACCATTGGGCTGCAGGGTTCCCAAGCGGAATATGAGTTGCTGTTCCTGCAACCTTCGGGTAGCATCGTTGTGGCACTGCAGGAGGCCCAGGATGGACACGTTGTCTGCGGAATGGGAGGAGGAGTTGAAATGGTTTGCGACTGGGAGGTGCAATTGTTTACTGCGAACCAAGTGTAGGTGTTCTGCAAAGCGGTCCCCAAGCCTCCGCTTGGTTTCCCCGATGTAGAGGAGGCCACAACGGGAACAGCGGATGCAGTATACCACATTAGCAGATGTGCAGGTGAACATTTGCTTGATGTGGAAAGTCTTCTTGGGGCCTGGGATGGGGGTGAGAGGGGAGGTGTAGGGGCAGGTGTAGCACTTCCTGCGGTTGCAGGAAAAAGTGCCGGGTGAGGTGGGGCTGGGGGGGAGTATGGAGTGGAACTGTACGCAGTATTCCAAATGTGGTCGAACCAAAGTCCTATACAACTGTAACATGACCTGCCAACTCTTGTACTCAATACCCCGTCTGATGAATGAAAGCATGCCGTATGCCTTCTTGACCACTCGATCGACCTGCGTTGCCACCTTCAGGGTACAATGGACCTGAACACCCAGATCTCTCTGTGCATCAATTTTCCACAGGGCTTTTCCATTTACCATTGTCCTACCATTCAATAGAGGTTGCAAGTTTGAAAGGAGCCTTGACATGTTTCTGAGGTGCTTTTTGTAGATGGTACATACTGCTGTCACAGTGTGTTGGTAGAGGAGGGAGTAACTATTTAAGGTAGTGGATGGAGTACTAATCAAACAGGCTGCTTTGTCCTTGATGGTATCAAGCTTATTGAGTGTTGTTGAGCTGCACTAATATAGAAAAGCAAAGAGTATTCCATCACACTCCTGACTTTGTGTTATGTAGATGGTGGAGAAGCTTTCAGAGGTCAGGTGGTATGTTACTTGCTGTAGAATTCCACATTTCTGACCTTGTGTTGTAGCCATAGTATTTATACGATTAGCACATTTAAATTTCTGGTCAATGGTGTCATCAGGATGTTGATAATGGGGATGCAACGATGGTGATGCCAATGAATGTCAAGGAGCAAGGGTTAGAGTCCCTTTTGTTGGAGATAGTCGTTGCCGCATGGATGTTATTTGCCATTTGACAGCCCAAGCTTGGATATTGTCCAGTTCTTGCTGTATTTGGATACAGTCTGCTTCAGAATTTGAGAGGTTGCAAATGGTGCTGAACATTTTGCAGTCATCAGTGAACATTCCATTTCTGACCTGATGATGGAAGGTAGGTCATTGATGAAGCAGTCGAAGATGATTTGGCCTAGGACACTGCCCTGAGGAACTCCTGCAGAGATGTCTTGGAGTTGAGATGACTGACCTCCAACAACCAGAACCATCTTCCTTTGTTTTATGTACAACTCCAATCAGAGGCAAGTTTTCCACTGATTGCCATTGGAAGTTTTGATGCTGCACTTGGTCAAATATGACCTTGATATCAAGGGCAGTAACTCTCACCTCACTTCTGGAATTAAGTTAATGCTTGAGCCAAGGCTGTGATGAGATCCTGAGTTGACTGGTCCAGGATATTTGTCAACTTTTAGTGCCATTAATGTATCCACTTTTTTCTTTACTAATATTATCTACTTTAGATTTACCTCCTCAATCTCATTTGACCTTGGTTTCTCACTGTTTTTGACTCATTTTTGGTGTGTTCTACTATAAAAACAAAGAAAATTTGTTTAATGTTCTGCCATTTCTTTATTCCCGTAATATCTCATGTCAGCTTCTAAGGGATCTACATTTATATTAGCTACATTTATCCTTTTACCATCTGTTTTAATATGTCTTGATCATTTAAGTTTATATTCTAATTTGTCTCCATACAGTATTTTGGTAATTCATAGAATCATAGAATGATAGTAGAAATAGGCCATTTGGCCCATTTGTTGTTGGATCTCAGACTCTCCCGATTCTAAAGCTTACATAACTTATAGACAATATTATAAACCCCTTTAGTTAGCCACAGATCACATTTCTTTTGTCGTTTTAAATTTCTGCATCGATTATGGATTCATGGAGAATTATCTCTTCAAACATTTCTTCA